GGATCGATTTCAACCTATCGAGTTTCGCTTGAGTTCCGGCCGTGCTGTGGGCCCACCTGGATACAAGTTTTCCCCTTTTGGAATAGAATTTCCGTCAAGGTAGGCTACTTTTCCTCTTTTTGCATTTTTCATGTCATTTCATTTGTATTACAATATACTGAAAACGGGCGTTCGAACTGATTTCTAGGCTATTTCTATACAAATGGAGCTCGATCCAAGAAAGAAATGATGTCTTTTTTTATTTTGTGGACTGCCAATTTGTATTGGAATATACTGAAAACGGGTGTTTGAGTCGGTTTTCAGTATATTTCAATACAAATAGAGCTCGATCCAAGAAAGAAATGATGTCTTTTTTTTATTTTGTGGACTGCCAATTTGTATTGGAATATACTGAAAACGGTGTTTGAGTCGGTTTTCAGTATATTTCAATACAAATGGAGCTCGATCCAAGAAAGAAATGATGTCTTTTTTTTTTTATTTTGTGGACTGCCAATTTGTATTGGAATATACTGAAAACGGGCGTTTCAGTCGGTTTTCAGTATATTTCAATACAAATGGAGCTCGATCCAAGAAAAAATGATGTCTTTTTTTTATTTTGTGGACTGCCAATTTTGTATTGGAATATACTGAAAACGGGCGTTTCACGTCGGTTTTCAGTATATTTCAATACAAATGGAGCTCGATCCAAGAAAAAAATGATGTCTTTTTTTTATTTTGTGGACTGCCAATTTTGTATTGGAATATACTGAAAACGGGCGTTCACGTCGGTTTTCAGTATATATTCCAATACAAATGGAGCTCGATCCAAGAAAAAAATGATGTCTTTTTTTTATTTTGTGGACAGCCAATTTTGTATTGGAATATACTGAAAACGGGCGTTCACGTCGGTTTTCAGTATATTCAATACAAGTGGAGCTCGATCCAAGAAAAAAATGATGTCTTTTTTTATTTTGTGGACAGCCAATTTTGTATTGGAATATACTGAAAACGGGCGTTCACGTTGGTTTTCAGTATATTCCAATACAAATGGAGCTCCATCCAAGAAAAAAATGATGTCTTTTTTTTTATGTTGTGGACTGCCCTATTTTGTATTGGAATATACTGAAAACGGGCGTTCGAGTCGGTTTTCAGTATATTCAATACAAATGGAGCTCCATCCAAGAAAAAAATGATGTCTTTTTTTATGTTGTGGACTGCCCTATTTTGTATGGGAATATACTGAAAACGGGCGTTCGAGTCCTTTTTCAGACTATTTCTATACACATTCCACTATATCAAAATGACGTCATCGTTGAGTCCAAACAGAGTCGTCCCCGGACAGAGTCGTCTCCGGACAAAGTCGTCCCCGGACAATTTTATACCGAATTTGTATAGAGATATACTGAAAATGGGCTTGAGGGCCGCTTTCTAGTATATTCCTATATACATTCGGTTGCATTCAGAAACAAAAAGAATGTCTTTTTGAATGGACAGGATGACTATGGAAACCGGATCTCTCTCTCTCTCCCAAGATTGGATGAGAGAGCGGCCCCTATTTGTATTGCAATATACTGAAAACGGGCTTTCGAGTCAGTTTCTAGACTATTTCTATACAAATGGAGCTCTATTTACGAAAAAAAATGATGTCTTTTTTATTGTGTGGACAGCCCTATTTGTATTGCAATATACTGAAAACAGGCGTTCGAGTCGGTTTCTAAACTCTTCCTATACAAATTTCACCATCTATATAGAATGATGCATGTGAAATTATTCTTTTTCCCTCCGATGGATTCATTTTTTTTTTATTTTTATCGTTTCGCGACTAGGCACGTGCTGGCGCAGAGAAGAATTATACACTCTCTTTAGTTACTGAGGCGACGCTTAAAATGATCTGTTCTTGCCGCATAGCGGTAATTGTTCTTGAACGATATTGGCCCTATGATGGGAAAATTTATAATATATGTATGATTGTGCTTTCAATAATGTAAATAATGTACATAAGCTCTTCATTAAGTGTTTATTTTTATATAAAAAAATAGAAGCGTGAATTCGTGAGCATAAACTGACAATTTTTATACACATGTATTTTGGTGCCGAAATTCCCGGACCTTTAGATACTTTAAAGTCGAAACTCGATAAGTGAATATAGTTCTTGATTCGCCCTATGCTGGAAGTAATGGAAGGATACCTGAAAATATCAGGTACGCCATTTTCTTTTCATTCTTGAAGTATTCACCCTTGGAAAAAAATGATTGATTTAAATAAAAAGTATTGAATATTTACGTTGAATTATCTTGAAATATTACTTGAAAGAATAATAGTTGATTGATGCTTGAAAAAATAATTGATTCTTAATCGAAGGAAAATTAGTGGATTATAAATCTTGATTTTAAAAGAACTGCTTGAAATACTGAAATGCTGTACTTTAATGTTTATTACAATTATTTTTTTGAATTTTATAAGGTTTTTATAAGGTCCATTACTTGAAATATGGAAAATATAGACAAATTAAAGTCGGAAAGAGCTGCTATCAGATCTGCAATCACTAAATAAATAAATAAAGCAAAGAAATTTGCTGGTAGCAGCGATTGAACAAATTACTGACACAGATTCCTTGTTAGAGTGTCAGGATATTTTAGCATAAAAAGAAAATTCTTTAAATCAGATTGATTAAGAGATACATAAATTGATTGAACATAAAGCTGAATATGAAAAATAAGTAAAATCTGTTGAAGAATACTCTCATAAAATTTTGAGTAGAAATCCAAAATTAAGAATAGGTTTAAGAAAATGTAAGCAGATACCGAAGTTAACGTAGTTCAAAATGTACCTGTAACTCCTGTAAACGAAAGTAATTTGTTGCGGCAGTTTAGTTGCCGAAATTAAATATTGAAAAATTCTCTGGTGATCCCAATACTTATTTAGAATTTATTAACTGTTTCAAGAATGCTCTGAAATCACATCGGAAATGGGATAAAAACCAAAACAAAAAAAACAATTTTTTTAATAACAAATTGGAGGAGGTCATGATGTCAATTAAAAAAAATATTATATAGAGTCCATCTTGGTGGTTCACTTCAGTTTTCCAGCATGAGGTGATCCACGTTTCCCGAAATATGGATCCCATTCCAAGAGAGATTTTGTAGAGCCTTCACTTCAGTTCTTTTTTTTCTACCAAGAGGAGAGGGTCCCAAAGGGCTACCCATGTCCAAAGAGAGAAAGTTGTAGAGCGTTCATTTCAGTTTTTTTTCAAGTTTAGGGAGGGGGTCTCAAAATGACACCCCCCATTTTCAAAGAGAGATGGTGTATAGCGTTCATTTCTGTTTTTTCCAAAGTTAGGGAGTTTTCAAATGACTACCCATTTCAGAGAAAGAGAGAGAGAGAGAGAGAAGGTGTAGAGCGTCATTTCAGTTTTTCAAGGTTAGGATGTGGGGTGGATAATCCTCCAAAATGGCTACTCATGTCAAAGAGAGAGAGAGAGAAAATGCGTAGAGCGTTCATTTCAGTTTTCCAACATTAGAAGGTTCCAAATACCTTCTGAATTCAAAGAGAGATCGTGTAGAGCGTCATTCCAGTTCTCCAGATCAGAAAAAGAGGGTCCGCTTTTCCCAAAAGGGCTTTCCGCATTCAGAGACAGCAAAGTGCAGATTTCAGTTTTCTCCTCCCCAAGAATAGAGGGTCCCTAAATGGCTTTCCATTTCAAAGAGAGAGGGAGAGGCGTTCATTTCCATTCTCCAAGATAGGGTCGTCTGCTTTTCCCAAAATGGCTTCCCAATTCAAAGAGAGAGAGAGAGAGAGAGAGTGAAAGGGTGTGTAGAGCGGTCATGTTCATTCTCCAAGATAGGGTCGTCAGCTTTTTCTCAAAATAGCATCTCCCCATTCAAAAAAGAGATCGTGACCAATTTTTTCCAGTTTTTTCCAAGATGGGGGGGAGAAGAAAACCTAGGATGGAATAACACGACACACAGAGGAAAAAAGAAAAAAAAACGCCGTCTTGTCATTTTCTGATAGGGTACCGGTGTTCGAATACTTTTGTGACCGACTGTACCCCTAGACAATGGGAAATCACGTGTCACATAGGAATGTCAGAAACGTTTTCTTTGTGCGGTAATGACAACACAAAACTGAAGAAAGAAAGGACACGAACGGGATGAGAAAACATGTTTATTATTCGAAGTACAACAAAAAACAAAGAAAAAAATATAAAGAGACAACGATCATCATCAAAGAAGGTGCTCGAAATTACGACCCAGACTGTGATACAGGAACTGTACGTCATGCAATTTCCATTCGTAATGCATATCTTCCATCCGCCAGAGAAGTGAGGGTCCATCACTGCGACTTCGTAATTTCGAACACCTTATTTACTGATGATCATTGTTTGTTTTGGGTTTTATTTGTAGGTTTCTGTACATAATAAAACGTATTTTTTCTCACTGTCTGTGTCCTTCCTTTGTGGCGTTTTGTTTCGTCACTACTGCGCTAGAAAAGCGTTTCCGACTATGCTTTGCTATGATTTCCCATCGTTTAGCTGTATTCTATCTCTCCTGAAAGTTTGTCACAGTTGTACTGATACACACTGCATTTAAGTTTCATTAAATATGAATTTAGTAACTTATAGTAATATGTATAGTTATATTTGGCAATATGTATTTCTGTAATTTTGCAATATATTTAATACTGGAAGGGTCGAAAAAGCATTAGGTATAAATAAAAAATCTTTAAATTAAACCTATAAAAACATGTCATAAATATATCACTAAGTAATTATCTGTAAAAATTATGAAGAAATTTATTCATAATTATTGGGAGAGATTTAAATAAATCTGTGATGTGTGGAGCAGTATTGCCTATTTTCTATTAAGCTTATCATTTCCTTCAAAAGGAATAATTTACCAGTTTTGTATCTAATCAGTGACAGAGGTGTTTCCGTTATTAAGGGGTCCCTTTATGTAAATTTATTTATGTATTATTTATTTATTTACTTACTTTATTGTTAAAGAAACGCTTAACGACTGGCAACGGTTCTCGTTTTCCTTTACGTTTGGTGTTGTGAGTTTGGCCCGTGAAAATAAGGTGAGGAAGATTGAAATGCGTGGCTCTTAAATGTTATCTGAAGTGATTTATCGTCTGTTAAGTTAAACATGAATCCTTTAGTTGGACAACAAGTGAATGTAAGCATTTCGATTGTTAGAATATATGTACCGTAATTGTGTTTCCCGCTGAATACTTCTATACAGCATCTTAACGTTTTGCTTCATTTTATTTCCGTACATTGTCTACGATATTTTTTTTTCGTAGGTTCTATTAATGTGTACATTTATTTCGAAATAGCGACTTATGAATGTCCCACAACATACTTCTCTATCCCAAGCAGACCAGGAAAAGGTTTATCAATGGATTAGTGAACTAGCTCGTCCGGATACTAGAGAAAATGCTCTTTTGGAACTAAGGTGAGCTTTTACTTTTGACCTTTCAGTGAAGGTTTAGAAATTAAGTATATGTATACATGCAAAATTCAAAAACTTAAGTAAAATGTATTACGAAGTGTTAAGACGACATGTTGTATTTATGGATTCTAAGAGATTGTCTTCAGATATTTTATCATTTTCATTTCTGCCTTTTTTTTTTTTTTTCTTTTGTATTGCTGTTCTAATGCATAAAATTCCAACATGAGTTTTGCCTCAATTTAATGATTTTAAATAACTCTGCATAAGTTCTTTAGATCCATCGATTTCCGTAAATTTTCAGTTTGTCTTATTACAACTTATTATCTAAGCCATAAATTCCAAAAAATAAAATTTGCCGACTGTCCCCTCTCTTGCAGAGAAATCATTATTTCAGGCAGGTGATAGGGTGTTTGGCTACAAATTAAAAAATAGCACCCTCATCATCCTTTTTCGATGTTCATTTTCTGTCAGTGATGAAATATAATTTGAAGAAGAAATAAAACCACAGAACCATATTTTAAGCGATTAATTGCATTTATTGAAAAACATAAATGAAACATTTATGCATAAAAATTAAAAAACATTTTTTTTTTTTTTTTTTCAATCTGAATTTTTATTTTTCTACCCCTCAATTGAGTGAAAGAAAAATTATTTCTTATATGTCTAATCCAACACATACATAATTTTCAACTGTTATTAATGTCAGTCTCAGAATCTTTCTTGTGACATACTCATATGTAAATAAGTTTAAATTAATTTTAATTTGGAAAATGATACATTGACATGTGAATCAACATCAGACAAAGTCAATAATATTCTTATTGAGATGGGCAAGTTAAAAAAGACTTGTCCATTAAGAATATTTTTGAATGCATATGTACATCTATGGATATGTGTACATCTAATACTGTAATATAAATCTAATAATGTATAATATGTATTTAATTGCAGAATGGTAAAATGATTTTTAGTTTTAAATTATCTTTGTAAATACTTTTTTAAAATGCATATCTTTAGAATTCCCCCTCCCAATTTAGTTTTCTGTAGATTTTATGTATCAGTTTCTGATAAATTGTATAGGAAGCTAAAATTACTGTAGTGCAGTTCTATTGGTTAAAACCATCCATTTAAAGATGTATCAAATGTACAATTGTAAACTTGTCCAGATATTTCCTTTATTTTGATGTTAATACTGAAATAGACTTGTCTTGTGTTCATCAGATTTTAGCTGCAGATTTAAATTCATACTCTCCATCTACATGTGCACTAACTTTTTTTTGGTAATTTTAAGCATATTGCTATGATTAGAATCTGATCTGTGTTCTAAAACAATTTTTTATTTCCTCTTAATATATTCTAAAGTAAGTGTAATATTCATAGTTTTATCTTGAAGCTATTTGCTTGAGGGTTTATTCTAAGAATATTGTGCCAAATCAGAGGAGATAAATTTAGCAATCTTTAATTTTGTGCATTTTATGTTATGTTGCTTTGTCGAAAATGTTGTTTTCATTATTTGATAAAATGCATCATTAATTTCTCATAGCTGATTAGGGTATCTGATAGCTGCTTTAAAGTTTAAATTGGATTTAAAGAATTGCTTCACTCTTTGGTGAAGAAGTGAAGACTATTTAGTATACAATTTGAATGAAAAATTCTTAAATGGAAACGGCAGAGAGAAGTAAAATGGCAGTTTTGTTAAATTCAAGAAGGGGTAAAATTAGGAGCTTTTTTTTTAATTAATTGGGAAAATATTAGTGAACTTAATAGTGGGTTTTAATTTTAGCAATCAGAAGCTGAAGAATCTTTTAGAGAACGATAAGCATACTAATTTTGGATTGTAATAACTTGACCGTAATCAGCTTATTATCACAGGGATACTAAGAGGCTGTTTTCAATTTTAGATTCTTACTGAATTTTTTATTGATTGATTTCTAATTGAAGTTAACTTCAATAGCATGAACAGTATAGCTACCTGAACTAAGCCCTGGTCATCTGATTTTTCGAATCGTCTGCCAACTGCTGGTTTTATACTGTGACTCTTCGATTTTTCAAAGATTTCTGCAAGAAAATTAATCACATAACTTAAGTTAAAATTGACTACCTAAAAGTATATTTACTGGTACCCCTTGGTAAAAATTGGCGATTTAAATTGCCGCTACACAAAGACAAAATAAAAAGTCGAAGAATTGCACAAATTTGGTATCCATGTATACATTGACCTATTTTTACTTAAAAAAAAAAACACAGAATTGCACAAACTAGGCATTGACTTTATCCATGTACATGTCGACCTATTTTCACTTAAAAAAACATCAGAGAATTGTACAAACTTGGCATAAATGAAACAACAACTTCGCGATAATACAAGGGGTACTTTCAGTCTACTCTAACCAGTTAACTATTAGGCTTTATATTATTGTATATAATCATAAATAATTTGAATCTTGATATGTTGTTATATTTTGCTATGTCACCATACATAAAAAATTACCGTAAAACCCTGTTTAATCGAAAGCCATCTTAACAGGAATGGTGGTGGTGGGAATAGAAGTTACTTGGTCATGCCCAACATCCTCCCCTCTGGAAACCTTGGTTGTGTATGAAACAGTGAACTATGAAATAAATCTTTTCCGGAGATACTTTTAAATGCCTTTGGCACAGTGATGTCAGAAGTTTTTCGACTGAAATAGTAGAATTGAAAAGTCGTAAAAATTAGTACATGAAGCCTGAGCTTACATGATTTGGTGACATCATAGTTATACATGTTTACATGACCTTTAGTGTCATCACAAATGGTTTCGTAAGTTGCGGACTGCAAGTCAATTCTTGGTTGTTTAAATTGCATATCTTGGTTTTGACAACAAATAAATAAATAACTAAATAAATATTGCTAATTATCCATTGTTTAAATGTTAATTTTTCTTTTAATTAATTCTCAGTTAATTTAAGTTTCTATTTTTAAATGAATAGTTTCATATCTGTTGTTAACTGCTTCCTTACATTTGGATAGTTAGCGCTTTTGTACGAATTATTTTTAAGTTAGTAGCTGATTTTTCTAATTTATTTGTCCTTTATTGTAAATATTAATGCTTTTCAGTGAATATTCCATTCTGTTTAGTTGACTTATTGCTTTATCAGATTCTGATTGCTCATAAAATATTCATTCTTTCACTGTTAAATTTCTTTGTGTTGTTATTTAGAAAACTTATTTTGCTTTAAGTCATCTCGATTGTTTAGTTCTTGGTAATATTTTAATCAGGAGAATAAACTTCATTTCTTTCTCTGTTTGAATACTGAATATATGACACTGAGGCTACAAATCGCTTCATTATCACTAGAGAACTGGAGGAAAAACTGACTTAAAAGCCAAATTTGTAAAGCAGTTAAATCATTAATATTAATGTGCATGACACTGTTTTACTCTTTTGTGATATTTTTCCTTTTATTACTGCTGCTTTTAAAAGTTCACAAGGCTATCAATAATGCAATACAATCGTTGCTTTATGTACATGTGTCTATACACACACATATGTGCACATACATACATATACTTGTGCATACATACAGGCATTTCTGAATCCAGCCCTGATGATGGAAACATACTGAAAAATTTTTAAATTCTCTTGTACATAAGAGACAACTCAAGTACACATTGAGCTCACCAGCAGCCGAGCGGTAAAGTCGCTGAACACTGGTAGTTCGGTCCGAGGTTCGAATCCCGCAAATGGGCTGGCTGCATGGCTGTTTTCGTGGTTTTCCCCATGTGTAACGTGTATATGAGCCAGTTTCCCTTAGAAAGTCCTCCACGAAGGCAGATAGCCCCTAGTGTGCTTTGCCATAATTAAATACACCAACCAAGTACACATTGTTCTTGTGCAATGTTTTTAGAATTTTTTGAAATCTCCCCTACTTAAGTTAAATATTTTAGCATGGAAAAAAAAAAAAAAAAAAAAATATGGTAAAAATATATTTCAGAGTACCCCTCGGCGAAAATTGGCAATTTTTTGGTATCATTCTGGACTATATCCAAAGCCTTCCCCAGTAAAATGGCATCCAAAATGTAACGCAGTAAAGCATTATTAAAACATAAAATATAGAATCTCATTAAACTGCATTTTAATTCAAATAAAGAAACAACATAAGAATGGAAATACATATTATGTAATCTATGCAATACAAAAAGGAAAAATCGACTTATTTAAAAATTTTGAGTTTATTTGGTATGCGAGACGTATAGAACTCCTTAACAGCATCCGAAAACTATTTTAAATTATCTAAACTGGAATCTGTATACTGCCGTCGTCACATAAATTTCACAAAAGTAAAAATTAAAAATATTCTCCATACTGCTGCACTGCAAGGATAAAACTTGGGTGCTTTATTGTAATCTTAATAAGCTTAAAAAGTTTTGCTATCCTAAAAAATTTTACTGCCTGTGCCTATCGAAGTTTTATTTTAGAGTATATTAATTATGTTTTCCAATTTTTACAACATATATGTGTTTAGTTTAGTGAATAATGTAGAGTTAGCCTAAACGTTTTACCATTTTTCCTTTTCAGTAAGAAAAGAGAAGCTGTTCCAGAATTAGCACCAATGCTATGGCATTCCTTTGGAACAATAACTGCTTTACTTCAAGAAATAATAAATATTTATCCTGCTATAAATCCACCTACTCTGACTGTGAGTAATAAATTATTAAATTTTTTACATATTTAAATTTGTGTAATTTCTTCAAAGCTGTTCTATTATTTCTAATTTATTTTTTCAAATCACATTGCTTAAAGTTTTATTGCTATTGAGTACATATGTTGTCCCATTAAAATATTGATTAAATTAGTTAGTTTACGTATGCATTTGATTCTATGTAAAATAAATTGATTTAATTTTGCTTCAAACAGAAAAATATGAAACTGCAAAAATGTGCTTCTACTGTAATCCTACATAAAAGCTGTTCACCAGAAGATGTAAAAACAGAATTATTTCTCTAGATTTAAAAATTGTTTGATTGGGGGGGGGAACCTGCCAGACATGTTTTATAGCAAATTTATGTGGACAATTTTATCCCATGTTGTAGATTAGTTACAACATGGACCACAAAAGCAAATAACCTTTATTTGATCTGTGTAACAAAATGCTGGGTTGGCAAGTTTCTTTCACAGTGGAAGAGAAAAATAGCCAGAGGGAAAATGTGAAGGGGCTAATTTTTTAACTTATTTCAATTTTATAATATATCAATATTTTATTTTCATTTTCATTTTCAGTGTAAAGTAAAGAGAAGTTGTATTTAGTCTAACTAGTCTTATTTGAACATTTTTAATAAATTTTGACATTATATGTGTATATATACAGGGAGATCATAAAAAAAAACTTCTCAAATATATGAATCTCATGTGAACAATTCACTCAATCAAAATGACATTTCGGATATTACTATTGGAAGGTATGCACTTAATATTGTGAAAATCTAAAATAGAGCTCTCAGTTATGGTTATGATGAACAAATTTGAAAATTTTCAACTTACAACACCCACCTTTTTCATGTGCAAATTAATTGGTGTATTGAAAAGCCATAAATGCCATTAGAACAATACACATATGACAAAAATGGTATTGTTCTGTTGATGGGATAGGATTCAGAAATGTGTGTGTGTGAATGTGCATATACACTGACGAGCCATTTCATTATGACCACCCTGTTAACATGAAGGACCGACCACCGTTAGCCCTTAAATCTGCTAGAACCTGACGTGGCTTTGGTGCTGATATGTAGTCTGAGGTATCTGGTACTAAGCACTCACCAACTGGTCCTGCCATTCCTGCACATTGCGAGGGGGTAGCGTCGCAGCACGAATTTGGTTTTCCAGGTGGGACCACAAATGCTCTATTGAATTAATGTCAAGTGTCTGTCATATTCACTCAGCTTCTTCCATCCATGATTTCGCTTTGCCGAACTTGTCTTGCCATGCTGTATGTATACCTCTAGAAACGCCTAATAGCTCAGTGTTTCAGTCACACTTGCTTCAGTTAGTTGGGCTCCTACAATTTGGCCTCTTTGAAACTTTTTGTAATTTGGCTTCTTTGAACTCTTTGAAACAACACTTTGAGGTCTGACATTCTTTACTTCTGACGATAATCCAAGACGTGTTACAACTTAAAAAAAAGCTACTTCATGCTACTATGATATATACTTATATTAAAAAAAAACTGGTAGTTAGGATTATATTTTATTGCTTATATATGTAATAAAAACAAAGTCAGAAGTAACTGACCAGCAGGAATTTTGATGGCGTAGAAGTGTTGATTCATAATGAAGAGGAAATTGGAGGTGAAAGCAGATTAAATATCCATTTTTTATTTCAGCAAATATGTTGCAGCCACAATAAGTAGGCACATTAATTGTGCCTATTCCAAAAAGCTTGCATTTAAGATAATTTTGCAGTAAGAAAAAAGGAATGCACAGACTGCAGTCCAGCTAAACCAAAGCGTAGAAAGCAATTGTGTTATGTGCAGGGTGAAATCATGATTCAGGCTGAATTAGTATTGGTTCTTAATGCATTTCGATTGGATAGTTAATATTACCGTAAAATTACTATTGGCTGCTTGAGTTATAGTTCCATTGAGGTTATTAGCGTGTAATATGTGTGAGCTAAGCAGACTTCTAAATTTAATTTACTATAACCTCTTTTATTTTTAATTTCATTTGGGAACTTCTCTCTGTCCTAAAAACAGTACTGTAAGTCTAAACTGTGTCATTCAAATTAATCATGCAACTTACGTAACGCTTAATGCAGATGCCTCTTGATAAATCTCCAAATTGTAAGCTAAAACTTAAAATTGAAACTTTTGCCTCCCTTCCTTCTTCCTTTGCATTACTACTGCTACATTTTCTCTCTTCTGGCTTATGCTTCCTTCCTGTTAAGATGCTTTGCTGCAATCGTTGATATTCGCTTCTGTCACTATAGTATCAAAATTGTTCTCGAAATAGGCGCAATTGGAGTGCCAAGTGAATTGTGGCCATCATTATGAAATAAAATAAATATGGAATGTAATTCGGCTTGACTGTTTATTCTTCATTAAAATGGATAGACACTCTGAGCATCAAGTATATTCGCAATCAGCATTTCTACGCATCTACATCTCGGTGCTTTCAAATTTGTGCTTTTATTACTCCAAAATTATGCTAATATTACATATATATATGCATTAACAAAACAGAGAAATTTAAAATTACGATGATGCATATTATTGAAATTGCACAGTATGCTGTGAAATTAATCAAGTAATCAAGAGATAATTGATAAATCAAAGTTGGATCATGAAAGAGGGACAACTTCTTTCCACAGGAAATTTTACTAACTTTTTCCTTTTAAAAATTTTCATTACCCATATTACTGAAAGTTTCTTTTTAGGAACACTTAAGTACTTAAAGTAATTTAAGTGTTAAGTGCAAAAATGTGCAGTACTTAAAGTAATTTAAGTAAAATTTCTGATTTTTTAATTAAAAGAAAAATAAATTTAGACTTAATTAATTTTTCTTTTAACCCCTTCGCGCCAGGTAGCGCAAACGCGCGCTTATCTCGGAAGCCGGCAGTGTCTTACGCGAGCGTCTCTCCAAAGCTGGGGGCTTTTTTGCTACTAAGCCTAAATCCATGAAATTTTCCGAAGTATCAACACATTGTTTAATAATGCTCTATAGAGTATTTAAATGGCTTATGCTTTATAGATATTTTTATACTATATACTTTAATTACCTTATTTCTTGTTTAAATGCATATTTTACACATTTTATTTTCATTACTCGCCATTTTATGACTTGTAACATTATACATCTGAAAACTAAATATATTACTTAAAATTCTCTTTTCGTATGAAAAATTTGAAAACAGGGATCTACACACAGTCCTACGTTACATTCCTTGCACTTGTAATAACTCATTTGCCGTTTTGGAGGATTTTTCCGGGAATGTGAACAAACGAAGCATCGTCGTCTCATTTTCTTATCAGTCTCTTCTGAACAAAGTTTTGGAAAATGTCTTTCAGTTAATCTTTCAGAATCAATATCTGAAATATTTTGCATCATTTCTGCTATTTCATGCTCTGTTAAACATTTTCGATGCTTCGACATTGCAACGGTAAAAGCAGAAAGAATTCACGTCTAACAAGATCTAATTATTTTCTAAAAACTGAACTGCAAACCGAAATACCCAACGCTTTAGCGTAAATAAAACTTCTCTTTTTACAGTAAACAACTACCACGTGCGAATGAATTGCGATTTAAAGAGACGTCATAAATCATGCCATTCGGAAACATTTATTCCCCTGTTTGTTTATATAATCAAAAACAAATGTATGTGAGTCATGCTTCTCTCATTTCGAGTAGAAGGTCTAATGTACATGTATCTGAAACCGTATGGAACATACAGAGCCATCTTGTGGCAGAAATTATAGTTTTTCAAACGTTGTAGGACACTGGCACAAATACGTAACAGTCGGTAGTGAACGAGAAAATTCTCTGTCACGCCCGCGTGTCGGCCGGGAGGTGAGTGTGTTCATTGCTGGCACGTAGACGTGACAGTCAACGCGAAGGGGTTAATTAAAAAATTAGATTTTAAATTTCTTTTCATTCATAACTTAAAATTTTTTTAAAAATAAATAATTTAAAAATTTATAATTAAAAAATTATTTTTTAAAATTAATTTATTTAATTTTGTGAAATTAATTCCAATTAAATTTCCAATTGTATAACAACCTCTGACAAAATCTACAATCTCCAACATTTTCAATTTTACAGACTAAATATTTGCACCTTCTTTCGGTGGGAATGCCAGACACTGAACAAATTAAAGCAGGTAAAACCCAATTTAGAGTATTGGGAGTGGAGAGGGAATCAAAAGGAGGATGTACTGCTGATTTGCCTGCAAATTGGTCACAGCAGACTGACACATCAGTAGCTCTTGAAAGGAGATAATGAGTTTATTTGTGGCACTTGCGATGTTCCCGTTTCAGTCAATCACATTTTAACCTGCTGTCCTGCTTTTAGTCAGAAATGTGAATATCATTTTAACTGTATGAATGTTAACAGATCTCATTGGAAGAAACCTCATAAAATTTTTAAAAGACGTCTCTTTTTACCATATGATTTGAAGTTTTCTTCCTTTTATCTTGCTCTGCCTGTTGCGAGAGCATTTCTCAAAGTCATTTCTTCCATGCCTTCATCAGCATTACAGGTTCATTTCGACAATTCATCTGATACAGTGTGTTTGTATGTTTTGGATCTTGTTCACCATTCGTCTGGCACATAATAACCTTTAAGGTTTTGTGCCATTAAAAGTCAACCAACCTTTTTCAGTTTTGCATTTAAAAAAAAAAAAAATTAACTCAAGCTTTCCTTACTGCAGCTCAACTGGGCTTTTTCTTTAAGATTGTGTTCTCGAGGATTACTCAGTAACAAGGTTTATACAAGGACATGTTAACTTACTTTGGTAAAGAAACAAAAAGCCTAGGGCTCAATTGGCTGTGACATTGCTGAAGTTTGATCTAGTCACTCATAACAGTGACTTCACATTTTATTTCAAGATTTTTTTTTGGGGGGGGGGAAATAAAAATTTGTATATTTGGGGTTGAAACATATCTATCTTGAATATTGTGTACTATGCAGAATATGTCTTGATTACAAAAATCTCTCCCCAGTAATTCATTATTTCACTAAAAATCTCCCCAACTTCATTACAGTCATGTGCTTCTAATTATGGAAGTGATTTAAATGATGAAAATATTCATGCTTTGGAAATGTCAAATTCTATTTTAAAATTGATTTTGGACAAACAATGAAATCCAACTTTTAAACAGACTCTTGCTTCCGATACTTATATTTGAGAAAATTTTATACTCATTATTAAAAATAAAAATACAAGAAGTTTGACTCCTATATGCCAAAAATTAACTGGGATATTTAATTTCAAAATTTTCAATTTGTAATGTCATTTTTAATTTGCTTGAGAGATTGGTGAATTAAGTTAGAATAATTTGAGGAGATTAGTTTAAATAAAGTGCAGTAAAAAATGTGTATAATTTAATAGCCCTACAAGGAAGTTTTGTAGTGTCCATATCAGAATTTTTTTATAAAGTAGTGAAATTTATCAATAAAATTATCTGAATATTTTTTGTGTTAATAATACGATCATTGTTTAGTGTTTAATATATTTTAGGCCCATCAATCCAATCGAGTTTGCAATGCACTTGCTCTACTGCAGTGTGTAGCATCCCATCCTGAAACTCGCACAGCTTTTCTGCAAGGTAATCTTGTCTATAAAAGTTTATTTTTTTTAGTGAAAGTCAAAAATATTAAGCAAACTTTATATGTATTACTCAGTTGGAACTGGATTATTTATTGCAAACGCTAAAATAATTGCAATATCACTGCTCAACATATTTCCCATTATAGTTCAATAATTTTGTAATAGTGTCTGACAACTATGTAGATATGAGAAATTAATTCTTTTTGAAGAATGTGTACAGCACTGACGGAACTTTATCTTGCTGGAACTTCATTCAACTTGGAATTGTATTCAGTTTTCATATACAGTGACATTGGGTTATAGAAGTGTTTTATCTTTAGCCTCATACTGATAGAGAAGCTTTTAACAAGCACTCATATTTTTTCATCTGCCGTTTTAAGCCCTTGCTTTCACTCTATGGAACTTCAGCTCATTTTAAGTGAAATGAGTGTTGAGACAATATTAACCTTTTGAGGGGGTAGCAGCAAAAGTCTTGAAAGGATGGGGAATCTTGAACTGAATGCTTTCCCCCCTTTAAGAAATCACCTCCTATTTACAACAAAGATTCTTGTATGTAGTTTAATGGATTCTCAGAGGGGTGCATCTATGTCACAAAAGGAAGGGAAGTGTAGGGATTAGTGACCAGACTTCAAGATGCTTTTTCGTCACTGAGGAAAAATTTCATATTACAGTTGTTCCGGATTGAGACTACTGGGAAATGTTTTAACCCTCCATTGAAGAAAATGCCATTCTTTATATTATAGGACATTACTTTCACTTTTATAAAATTTAGGTTTGAATTTTGAATTACACTGCAAAACTATGTGTCTTTAGTAAGTGGCTTACAGTAATTATTTCTATCATATCTTTATATTAATGTTATTTCAAAAAATATTTTACCTATTTGTTTATTTCCTTGGACAATTTAAAATTTAACCAGTCTTCATCTCAGTTTTTTTTTTAACTATTAAATGTCCTTATAATTTCAAATTTGTTTTGGTATATATTATCAAATATAGCTATATCTTTAAACTTTCTTCCATACAGGGAATCATTCAAAAATAAACACTTAAAGCTATAGAAATGATTAAAAATTAAAGTTCAGTGGAACTGTTAAAATTATGCTCTATAGCTGTAATGAAATTTTAATTTTACATGATTGTTCAAAATCTGCTTGATAACATACTATTTAAGGAGGAAACTTTCAGCAAATTAGAATAAAACTTGTTTAATTAAAAAGAATTTTATTTTATTGTAGACTGTTAGTACTGCAATGTCCAACTACATAAGTGCTACTAATTAAAATTCAGTTCTTTTCCAAAATTAATGCATAATAAAACAGATGCTCAAAAACTGTTTTTTTAGAATATTTTAGTTTTAAAAATTTGGAAAAAAAAAAGATTATTTAATCATGTATCGTTTTATACTGTTTATTGAAAATAGTAAGTGATATATTTCAAGTATTAATAATAGAATGAATTCAAGTCATTAAAAATGTCAAATTATTTAGTATTACAGTTCCCCATAATTCAAAACGTAATTCCATTTGTCTTTTTTTTTTTTTTTTTTTTTTTTTTTTCCCCATTTGTCTAAAACTAAATTTCCAACCTGACTAAGGAATGTGTTCACTACGGGTATCAAAATTTAGGTAATTTCTTAGTGCAAAGTTTTTTTTTTTTTCAAATTGAAGGGAAAATTGTTTGTTATGCATAGTGTCTGCAAAAACTGTGGGACAAAACTTACAAGATAATTAGTTGTTGTCTTCAGTACTGTATTATGTTATTCTATATTATGCTACATAATTTAGCACATTAAGAGAAATTTCCAGATAATTTCAGGTGCTCGGTCAGCAAAATTCTCTCCTGTTTGAAATCGTCGTCCCATGTGAATTTTTCTATTTCCTCTATTGTTTAAACCAGTTCGTTTCAACTCCAGACTGTCTTTGTAGCAGCTTTGACATCAACCATGACGGCATATTTTATATGGTGGAATTTAAATTCTACGATATATTAGCAAGTATCTTTACTTGCAGTTACTCAAAAAATCTTCTCTGTCAGGTCATGCAAAATCTATACTGACACAGTTGGATTAACTGTTTTTCTCTTTTTTATTGAAATGAATGACAAAGGCATTCGATAACTTAAAAGGTCAAGGTTTAGAAATTCAGATGGAGAACATGTGTTTGTCTTAGAACATGATTTGTACATTATTTGAGAACTTTTACATCATGTTTGTATTCTCGGAGCTCAACGGAGAGTGAAATTTCACAAATGCTACTCTAATCCATTCTGAAAATCTTACTTCAAAATGATTTGACCTATCGTGAAATCGAGACACTGATACGGAAGTGCTTTTTAAAATAACAGTACATCTGGAATCTAATGGCTAGAGATGACCTTTCAAACTGATTGACTAGTTTTAGTGTATTTAGGATTTCCAGGTTTCAGACTGAAATTGTAAAACTACTGTTGTTTCTTTGACACAAAATTTAGGTTTATGTTCTTGTGATTTGTCTGAATAATAGTACCATCACAGTAAACTTCCATGTGTGAAGGTCACTTCAGCATAAACAGATATATATGGAAATAAAGACAGACAGAACTGTTAAGAATGAATTGATAAGAATGTAAGAAAAAGTGCGTGTACATGTATACAAGTACATGGGAGTTTATATTTGTTTATGGAAATGTATACCTACATATCCATGTAGTGTGTAGTGTGTATGTCTGCACTGATATAAGTGCAGATATGCATATAAAGCGGAAAGCATGCGTACCCTTAAATGGGAATAACGTATATATAGACGTGTACATGTGCACACAAAATTATTTGACCGATCGTGAAATCGAGACACTGATACGGAAGTACTTTTTAAAATAACATAATAATTAAACATACATATATATGTATGTGTATATATTTCATCATCAAGCTTTTGAAGAAGTTTTTCGTATTTCTTCTTTAGTCAGACCTCTTTTTCTTTTCAGCATATTGCTAGAAAAATGTCAATTCCTAAAAAAGTTACAAAAATATGCAATATTCTAAAGCAACGCAAGGCTCTGTTCTCAATTTACAAATACAGTTATCGCAAATTCTGTAGCTATGTAGCAACAAGAACTAAAAGGGAAAAATTGGGAAAAACCAGATTTTTAACACAAAGACCTTTGAAAGAGATAAGTGGTTAAAACCCCAGGGATGTCAAATTTGACATTTCACCCCACTCTTTCAGCCTGGAAAATGGGGGGAAAAAGACATGGCCACTAAAGTGGACAACCCCGTCATTTCAAACAGAGCACTCTATGACCACTATAATGGCCATCCCGTCTTCAAAAGGTTAATATCTTTTCAGGAAGATACCTCCTTGTTTGTGATAAGTCAGTTTTCTTTTATCACTTTTTCCAAATTACATTATCTTCCATTGCTATTGGATAAAGGTAAAGAGTATAAGTGAAACTGGTCTTCGTCTTCTCAGATCACTCATATACTTGTTTTGGTTTCATTCCTTCACGGAATAAAAATCTCAGAACGCTTTACTGTTCTTGTTCGGCGCACTTTGAAAGGGCACCACTATCTCATAGAATTGTTTTCCATGGTCTTATGCATGTTGCAAGTGATAATGTCATTCTGTTAGTAGTTAAAGGTCTTTCATATCTGATATTATAATGATATTGGCCATAAGTATGATTTTTAATACAACTTTTAAGATTTCCTACTGAATTACCTAACATGTTTTTAGTTTAAATAAATATATTTGTATATTTTATTGAATGTTTCCTTTGCATGCCATAAATATCTATTATTATACAGAAATACTTGCTTTTTTTAAAAGACATTAAGTTATCCAGAATAACTTCATTGCTTTTAATCTGTCTCTTGCAGCAAACACACCTCTTTATTTATACCCATTTTTGCATACTGTAAGTAAAACAAGGCCATTCGAATATCTTCGTCTCACAAGTCTAGGAGTAATTGGTGCTTTGGTAAAAGTAAGTTATTTTCAAAGTTTGTCACTTAGCTAACTTCCTGAAAAACAAATTGTGCAATATTTGTTCTAGATATTTATATACTGTGTGAAACTACCTACATGATTTATTTATTAATGAAGCTATTATCATAAATAATGAGAAGGAATTTATATTTGAATTTATTACAACAGTGATGGAAGTTATGTACTAAAGCCAAAATATACTGCTGTAGATTTTAAGGGAAATTTAATAGTAATCAATAATCTTCATATTGAAAAATGGAAAGAAATAAAATTTTTTATGACCAGACTTAGTTCGTAAAAATCATTTGAATTTACATGTTGATAATTAAAACATTACATTTGACATGCATTAATGTTTCCATTTGAATTTTTTTGAAAATTTTTAAATCATTTAGCTGTAACAAGAAAATGTGCTTTAAAAAAATGATGATCGTGTTTGTATTACAAGGCAACAAATGTGCATCAAGATTGTTTTCTGGACTATTTTAAGAAAGTTAATAAATCTGGAAGTTATTGAAAATTTTAAAGCTTTTATCCAGTTTAAAGATTCCAAAGCATGCTACAACCCATAAAATGTAGCATGTAAACTAATGTTTAATTGTAATTATTACATCTATATACATTATAAGTATGTTAGGAAATACTAATTTTGCCAGCAAATTATTTTCTAAAGATAAATGAATGTGACAACTGAGCATAGGTACACCTTTGCTCAGTTGTCACATTCAACATGCTCAGTTGTTACATTCAACACAGACAACATGTATATGTTTCCATCAAATTATCCACCTTTGCTCAGTTGTCATGTTCATACAGACAGCATATACATTTCCATTAAATTATCTAATTCAAATTGTCTAGTCTTGGTACTGCAGTTGAAAGGAAGAGTCACCTTTGGAGAATGGAGTAGTTTCTGTGCGTGCTCATGGGAATGAGACATAACACAGATGTGGCAATTGTAGGTACTAATGTCTCTGTATACAGTCAAAAGTCGTTAATCCAGACTCGTCGGGACTTCGGCGATTACGGATTATCGATTTTTCCGTATTATAGATCATCAGTTTAAATCTCGTAAGATGGCATGCAGAAATTCTAAAATTAAAAATATGAAACCGTAATTTATGAAATAAAGAACAATTATGATCTAAAGGGTATCAAAATTTACAAAAAAAAGCTTAATATTTATTTTGTTTACTTTATTAAACATTTCTTTCAATGTAAGTTGTTTAAGTTGCTTCGTTTTATGTGATAATACTTTCTCTTTAATTCTATAAACAGACATAATTTTCTGTTTAGTTACAAAGTTCCACTGTTCAAGTCCTATAATTACTGTGTCGAGAATACCGACTAATTTGTCAATCGAAATCTTTTCGTTTTCACTAACCTCTCTGTCACCTTCTTCATGTCTTTATCCATTTTTTGCAGCAATTCCACTTTTTGTTTGACGGACGTCGAAACATACTTTCGTTTTGTATATCTTTTTGGGAGCTCCAGCATCGGAAATTCTACTTGACATAATCGAAAGTTTACTTTTATAAAATTGCTCTTACAGTCTGCAAAAAATAATAAGCGGGATCCAATTCGAAGATCAAGGAACAACGCAATCATCAACATTAACTGAAATAGATAATTAGATAATTTTAGCTTATACCGTCCGTTATACATTAAACGCGCACGCGGAAACGTATTTTGCACTTGTGCACACACATATGCGCAGTCATAAAGGTCTTACGCGCACGCATAAACGCCTATGCGCATGTGTCAATGCGGCGCATGCGCAGAAAGTTTTTAGCTTTGAGGTCCGGATTATAGATCATTCCAGAGTGTCCAAATTAACGACTTTTGACTGTAGTTGTTTTTTAAAGGTATTTGTGTCTCTTTTCCGAAGAAAGCCCATGTGGCAGTTGTTATCCCTTGCATGTTATTTGCTGGTATGATGAGTTATGGCGAAGCTACAGTCTATATGTATATAGATCCAAAATTCTGTGAAGAACTTTGCATACCATGGTTATCTAATCATCTTTATGAGTTCAGTTGGTCCCTGTAGTTTCAGATGCGACAAGAGTCAAATGTGATTCCTTTAAACATGGTTTGTTTCTTGCATGATCCTTCAGCAAATTATTTTCTTCAAAATGCTTGACAAGCTTTATTAGTCCTGTTGATATTAAAAAACTTTTTCTAGCTCTTGAAATCTTTTGTGCTCAGCACTGTCATAAAGCAGTGGATGCTAGTTCATGATTAATTCGGAAAAGTTTTACTAATGAAACCTTCTCTGGTGCTCTTGAGACTCTTGTGTGTTATAAAAATCTACATTTTCAGCCATTCTTCATATGCTTCACAAGCTGCTTGGAGTGATGAACTTGTATTAAATAATAATAATAAATATAAAAGTTGGAATAGATTCTTATAATAGTCTGATTTGCATATTTCTAGTGTAGTTCCAACTAATTGCAGTACTTGACTTGTTTGTAAAATTTTTTCATATTGTAAAAGGAGGATAAAATACTTTGGTTTTTTATACTGAGGTTTTACTAGTGCATATTTAAAGCATTGGCTAGCAAAAATGCTATAATCTTGGGAGTGGGAATATAATTTTTAAACAGAGCTGGCTAAAAATACTAATGGCAAAATGTGATTGCCAGGTGCTCTCTCAGCTAAATGCTCTAGACCCTCAGCTTAAATACACACAAAGCGAATTTGAATTCTGGGGAGGAATACAAAAAGGAGAAATTATAATAAAGAGTTAAATCATAACTGGTTAATTAACATAATTTACAAATTTAATAATTTGGCTCTTACTTTAAGTAGTCCCACTAATGGCTGAGAGATTGCTGGTAGTTTTCCCAGAAACCAACTCTGGCTGGCTGCATAGTTTTCATGATTGTTCTCTGGTGCAACGTGAATACGAGACACTGTTCCTTAGAAGACTTCTCCATGAGGCATTCCTTCATTCAGGCAAATAGTCTCCATGTGCATTGCCATATTTAAAAACCAACGAACCTAATTTATGTATGATTTCTAAATGCAGATTTATAAACTAAGGAAAACAGAAACTCGCCCAAACCTAGTGTAATGATAATATTTCAGATCTTGACTAATCACACTTTGACTTTTAAAAATGTGTATCTTTTAAATCTTATGTTTACATAAAAGTGTATTTTGCTTTTTTTTTTTAAAGGAGGGGCCTCTATGATGGTAATTATGAGCTCTTTCAAATGTAAACAGCTTGAGAAATTCATTGTGCTAGTAAAGGCCACAAGTTATCTTTTGGTGATAAGACAGCTTCAAAATCATTTTTATTTGCTGCCTACATACAGAATAAAAGATAAAAATCTTATATTCTAATCAATTTTGCTACTGTTGCACATTTCCAGAGTAGAAGATAACATGTTTTATTTATATTTTTGACATATTTTTTGATGTACTCAGAAGTATTGAATGTGTATACGATGCACAATTTTTTAATCAGCAAAATAAATTCTGGTGTATAAAATGAAGTTAATTAAAATATCAGGATATAAAATGGTGAAGTTAAAAATTAATGAAAGGAAAAAGTTAAAAAAAAAGAGGGGGAAGGCCTCTAAACTTTTGATTAATATTCTTTACAGATTTAAAAAATAGCCTAGGAATTATAAATAAAAATGAGGGGGAAAAAAGAAATTTGCCATGAATGATCCTCAGTGAAAGTTTATTTGGAAATTCAAGGTTCAAAATAACTGTAGTAATTCATTGAAGATTATAACAAAGTGTGTATTGGCATTATTATCACTTAAACAAATATGCCAAATCTGAAAACATGTCAGTATATAAATTCACATTTTTATTGAGAAATTTTGAATAAAAAATTCTAATTTTTTACAAGTATGCCTAGAAATACATCTATTTTAAAATGATGACAACATTTTTATGGATTATTATATTTTTTTTTTAATTTATAAAAATTATTTAAAAAATAAATCATAAAAAAAGTTCAGATTTTATTTAGATTGAACATAAATTTTGAATTCTGAAAGAATGAATCAAATAAGTTTAATTAAAAAAAAGAGAGATTAATATATTATGTATATAAATAGTATATATATATATGCTAAATCCAACTAACATTGGAGAGCTAAAATTTGAGACCTAATTTTTTAAAAATTACATAAGGGATTTTTTATAAGACTTAGCACTTTGGCATAATTTGAGGCATAGGATCAAAATATGGAAAAAAAGTTGCTTATGTTATTTCAGGAAATGTCTGTGTGTCGAAATACCTGTGTTAGAATAATGCTGTATATCAGTCTACTATGTAGCCTAAGTTGCCCTTTTGAGACATGAAAATCGTAAGTTGAATTTCGTTAGTTTAACCCAGCAGAATGAGAGATATAGATCTGTTCCCCCCCTTTTTTGGACCCTGTACATTTTTTATAGAATAACATTCATGTTTTCTGAAATTAGAAAATAAGTATTTGCCTTTTATACTATTTGTTGCTGAAAATAATTGGTGCACTCTGAAAAATGTATAAAAGATTTTTCTTGGTGTATTTTAAAAATTGCTTAAAGTGGTATATATTTTTCCTTGTCATTTAATGGCTGTAATGGTTGACAATTATTATAATTGTAAATCAAAGTGTTCATTTATTTATTTACTTTTTGTTTATAATTTAGACAGATGAACAAGAAGTCATTAATTTTCTATTGTCCACGGAAATAATTCCATTATGTCTACGCATTATGGAATCTGGTAGTGAATTGTCAAAAACAGTATGTAAATTTATTATTTTATCGTGAATTTTTTAATACTGTACTTTTTATAATTGTTAAGAATATTCTGGTTCATTTAGTTATTAATGAATTAGCCTCTATAATATATTAAACTACTGAAAGTTTTGTTGGAGAGAGCTAAATGTTTGTGTACTTTTTTTTAAATTTCTTTCAGTGAAAATATTTAAAGAAATTTATTTCATAAATCATGCTAATGTTTTTACTGTTGCCGGCTAGCTCTAAAAGTATTTATTAACAGAGCACGCAGGAATGGTTACAAAGAAAATATACGTGAAAATAAAACATATACCAAACGAAACATTAAACATTCGAATTACAGAGACATCTGGACGGTTATTCTACGCTACAAGAGTCGACAGCAAGTTGTGGGCCGCCAGATGTCGCTACTAGTAAAAAACAGGTCTGCCCAACATCCTATATTCTCTGAGTACGGAAGTTGTCGAAAGCGCGTGAAAAAGTGTTGCCGCGTCGTCAATCAGGGTTGTCCAGTTGACGTACTAAGTAGACAATGGCTTTGTATGTGTTTTCGCCGCTGATTTTTTTCATATTTAAATGAAGAATACCGTCGTAGATCTCTGAATCGATGGCGAATTTATTTATAGAAATATGTTGATGCTTTTGCTCTGCCAAAAGATGTTTTCATTGCGTATTTCAGATTGCCAAAATATAAATTTTGGCAGTTATTTTAATTTGGGATGAACTGAGAGAGTATTTGGAGCCACATTCAGAAAACAAGAACGCAATTTCTACTGAAAGAAAGGTTATACTATTCCTGAAATTATAGATATAAATTGTAATTGTACGCTTTAAAAATGTAGAAGATAATAAGTTTATCAAGCACATAAACCTTCTTCATTTAATACAAATATAGACATCCGATAAGCTTCTACTCGATTTATGTACATTATACAAGAATTATGTTTACTTTTAAAATCTAACAGTTGAATACCTTACGAATAATACTGTGAACACAAGAAATGTCGTTCATTATTACGCGAAATTCACACTAAAATAAAAATTTAAAATAATAATAATTATAAAACTATAAAATAGATTTATAATATTTTTTTCAGTAGTTGTACTACTACTAGTGTGATACTTTTAAAAAATAAGTTTTAGCCCAGAGGGGCTATTAATTTCGTTTTGCCATTTTGTGGCGTTTCACGATAAATGGCGTTTCACTTTTCAAATCGTTGCCACCAAGTATTATCGCACTCTATTATATTTAAAGAAATTAAATAATGAGGAATCTGCAGAATGTATGAATGTTTCTCGCACTGTAATAAAATAACGGTACCTTGAGCCATGAAATTCTGAATAACGTAATCCTCCATCCTAATATAGGCATCTGGAGGCCCAAATTTGGAACTGGAAATTTGTATTATTATCCATTTCATATATCATATTTTGTAAAGCATTTATGAGTTTTTGATTAAGAAACCCAACGATTTCAAAGCGAGCAATGGCAAAAAAACACTTTCATCTCTAGCGCGCGAGACTATGTATCGGAAATTCTAAAAATATGCTTTTTAAAATTATATGATATTGCTGTTGAATTGAATTTTATGGTTTTAAGTGCGAAATGTGTTTTTATTTATGTGTGTGTGTGTGTGTGTGTGTAATTTTAATACATTTTAAAACTGGTTTCTAAGTGAGGACTTTCTAAGGGAAACTGGCTCGTATACACGTTACACATGGGGAAAGCCACGAAAACGCCGTCCAGCTCGTTCGCGGGATTCGAATCTCGGAGCAAACTACCTGCGTTCAGCGGCTGGTGGGCTTGTTAGCAGAATTATACTGTATTATTATTGTATTATGCTATAAAGTAACAATGCTATAAGACTGAGGGTTTGTTCATGGAATAGTACTTTTGTAACCTATTATAGTAATAAAAAATCATTGTGTTCCTTTGCAAAACTTAAAAAAAAAATAAATAAAAAAAAAAAAAAAAAAAAAAAAAATACTGTTCATAGCATTCTCATTTTTATATTGTAAAAGAGATATTGATTATTATTAGTTTTCTATTTAAAATGTGTCGAAACGCTGGTTTGATAAGGACTTGAACTGCAGGAGACCTACACTGATTATTTTTACTTTAGTACTTCCATTGTGAAAATATTACTATCTTTTAATTATTTTCAAAAGAACAAAATCTTTTGAGAAGGAAGAATATTTAAACTGAGCAGTTCTTCTATATATACAAAATTAAAATAACAGCAATGTAATATTGAAAAAAAGGTATTAGTAATTGTGTGACAAAAATTGCAAAACGAATTAATCACACATACAGGATAGATTAGTTTAATTTTGGTTATATATTTTATATTGAAAAAATATTTTCTTTCATGTTAATTATAGAATAAATTATTTAAAATAAAAGCATTTGATGATGCGTGTGTGATAGCTTGAATGCAGCAGCAATCGGCCATACTGTAATAGCGAATGAATTTTATTTCTTTTCCTGAAAGAAATAATTTTCGTAGAAAAAGAAAATTAAAAAGGGAAGAAATATTAAGAAAGAAATATTTTCTTTCTAATTTCTTATTTAAAGAAATATTTTTCGAATAGTAACTGTAAAATAAATTGCGGGAAAACAGTTTTAATGTAAACATGGGAAAAAAAAGAAAAAAAAAAAAAACTTAGTTTGCTATTAGATTGTAATGCAAATTAATCATATTATAAATTTAAATAATTAAAATTGTTTATTTCTAAAAGGATTTGAAGAAGTAAGCTTAATTCATTTACTCTTATCTATTTACCATTGCTTTCATGGTATCCCATATCACTCTTTATTTCTTACCTCTAAATTCCTGCGTTAACTTCCCCATTAAAAAACGAGATTTTCTTTCACATAACACAGCAGCATATTCTACTGCGTGTTGGTCATAATACTGTTTTGTGCAATTTTTTTTTTTTTCGAACTACAAATGCAGCGTGTGAGTTAGTGAAATAATGGGGGAATATTCTTAGAACTTCAGCCAGCGCGCGCTATAAATTTCGTCACTCGTCTGTACTGCGATTGGTCTAAAGCTCCTTGAAGCCTTGTCCCCTTCCAGTAAAGTTAAATGGACCCACCTGCCCTCCAACTGAGGACCACAGAATGGCTTTCTCCGATAAGTTGTGATGGCTGTCCATACCGGTTTTTTTGAGTCAATATTGTTCGCTCAAGTTGTAGACAGATCCAGTGATCACAGAATAGGCGTCCTGAATACAGGGTAAACTAATGTCATCACAGCTGGAGGTTGAGTGTCTTAGATTGTTCCTCTTTGCCGCTGGATAGTGTTCAATAAAATAATTTGTTTACAGCTAAATAGTTTTGTTACATTGCTACTAATGCATAATTTTGCTGGTTTGTGCCATTACTTGTATCTGAACTAATAACTCTCTAAATTTGCATGATATTTCGGAACTAACTTTTTTTTTTTTTTTTTTTTTTTTTTTTTTGAATATTTGAGATTAAGTTAACTGAAATCTACTGGTACTATTTTGAATTGATAAAGTAAAAATAAAACTAAAAGATAATTAATGTGCATTCATTGTATAATTTTGTTGAATGTGTAGGGCGACATGGGGCACTGTACTCTATTTTGAATGGCCAATACATTGCTAGTTTAATAACAAACTTTATGTCCTAGATTTGAATAAGTGTGGAAATGTATGCCATTTGCATTACACAGAAAAAAATCTTATCTGGAAGGTGTCTGTCAATAGAGCTAAATTTATCCAATGGGTATAATTTACTATGAGCAATTGGTTTACACATTCTTATATGGATAGAATTAAAGATTGCTTTTCAAAATTCTGATTTCCATACCAAAGATGATGTGATGAACTGCTGTGAACCAAATGTCGGGAGCTAGGGAGAACTATCCTCATACTCGCAGTATTCTGTGATGTTCTTGCAATACATTCTATACTTACTAATGTTTTTTGGAATTGGAGTCTGTGGTTAATTTTGTGTGTGTTGTACATTTTGCAATACCAATAATAGTTTAGTATTATTGTTATTGCATGGTTTAGTATTATATTAATTATATAATCAAAAATGAGTACACTCTCCCGTGTCACTGTGTATACTTATTCTGGGTGAATTATTTGTTTCTTAGCAAATACGAGTTTCTTAAAGGTGTGATTTATCAGCAGGGCTGTGGAATCAGAATCAGGCAGATTTTGGGAGTAAAAGAAGGAGCTGGAGTCACTAAAATCAATAATCACAAGCTGAGTTAATATTCTTATTTATGGGCTGTATACATTAATAAATAGTTATTTTCTATTTTATTGATGTATTAATAAATAAATATAAGGGAGAAGGATCGATGTGATATTTGCCATTAGGGATTAAACTGATTCATTCAGTTACAAATCTTGCTGGTAACTTTAGGTAAGCAGCAACAGCAGTAAAAACTCCCAAAATTGATGCCATTCTTAGGAAGCAAGCAGGAAAACGAGCAATTATTGATCAAGTAATGTGATAAGGAAGTACATATTTGATGATAAAGAGGTTGTTAGAATTAAGTACTTTTTTAGAAGATGTAGATAACCCTAATGTTTCACTAACAGAAAGACTGTGGAATGATCTTGCAGAATCAGAAACTCTTCTTTCCACACCGTATATAGCCACAAAAATCTGCGATCTGAAGAATTGACAGGACGCGAGAATGGAAGAATGTGATGTTTGTTCTTTCTAAAATGGAGGGTTTATTGTAGAAGGAATCATTTCTTCCATGAAGAAAAGAGAAACTAGTTGGCTAGACAATGAGATCTTGCTGGATTTAATATATGTAGATCCGAAACATTGAATTTTCTTGGATGACGAACAAATTGAAAAGGCAAAGAAAACCATCTATGAACTTTTCATTAAGAATGAAATTATTCTCAGAACGATTAGAGAATTCGAATCAGTACAGTCAAACTACAGACATTGCATTTGAGTCTCTATCATCCTGTTCCAGTGATGAATTATATTTTTAGAAATATTTTTGGATAATATTGAAAAGGCTAAGGCAAAGCAAATGAAAATAAAGAACCAAGAGCCTTTAGATATAAAATGAAAAAATACAAGCTTTCTACACGGCCTATGAAGAAATAAGAGAAATATGATTGTGCTTGCAAGGCACCTCTTTTAGAACTTATAAAAATCTGTCCTGAAAAGTTAAAAAAAGTAGCCCTAACAGTAATAGCTCTTCCTCCTACTCAAGTTAGTGTGGAAAGACTCTTCTCAGCTCTGAAGTTTATCAAATTGGATCAATGGCCCTCCAACAAAGATCTTGCCAAAGCTATATACTGTTTCTTAGAAATAACGAATGCCAGTTTTTCATTTCATAATAAATGCTAACTAATACAAATAATTTGCTATGCCATCAGTTTTTTTTCCCCTGTAGCATCTATTACTTCTTTTATATTAAAAAAATAAGGTGAAATTCATGTGTATATGTTTACATGTATATATATGAGGGAGTCGGAGTCTTTAAAATTCCAGGAGTCGGAGTTGGTCATTTTTCTTACCGACTCCACAGCCCTGGTTTTGAGGCTAATATATCATTCGGGACTAATGTCCCTTTTGGGCTAATAAAAGGAAATTTTTTGCCTTTTTCTCTTTTCGATGCATTTTATTCAAAACTCATGAAAATATCTACTCATTGTCTAAAGTCAAAGTGAATTCCTTCTACCGAGTAATTTTAAGTACAAAAGTCTCTAAAGCCTAAATCACAGAAATTTTCTGTCGTATGTTTTCATGAAATGTACTTAAATTTAAAGAGGAAGAAATAATAATACCAGCTAGAAACGTTATAAAAAATGAGCGAAAAGTTAAAAAATTAAATTAACCCTTTGTTGCATCATGTCCACTCCAGTAGACAAAAGTTTAAATTTGTTTATGCTTCTGTGAATGCCTTAACAGATTCCATTCCTGTGTTTATTCATTCTATATTATTAGAATTTTCAACTGTCGATCATAGATGGCTGTATAGCATCACTAAATAAAGCATTGCTATTTGGAAAATGGCTGCTACTTCTGTTTCCAAGTTCGTACAATTTCTCATAGTGAACATTATATAATATTGCTTACATTTTCTTATACTGCCATTTTTATTCATAATTAGTAATTTTAGGTATTTTATTTTAAATGTCAGTGTGAGAAAATTGTGGAGTGAGTAGATAAAGATCTACCGAAAAGAGTGAATTGAAACCCAAATGTACTGCTTATCAAGCCAAAACACCACTGGAAATGTTTATGTTTGGCTAAAATGGAGGGTTTATTGCAGAAGGAATCATTTCTTCAATGAAGAAAAGAGAAATTAGTTTGCCAGACATTGAGATCTTGCTGGATTCAATATATGTAGATCCGAAACACCGAATTTTACGATAACGAACAAATTAAAAAGGCAAAGAAAGCCGTCTATGAACTTTCTGGACAGTCAAACTGCTGACATTCCAATTGAGTCTCTATCATACTCTTCCAATGATGAATTAGATTTTGAGAAATAATTTTGGATAATATAGAAAAGGCTAAGGCAAAGCGAATGAAAATAAAGAAATATGATTGTGCTTGCAAGACACCCCTTTTAGAACTTATAAAAATCTATCCTGAAAAGTTAAAAGAAGTAGCCTAACAGTAAGAGCTCTTCCTCCTACTCAAGTTAGTGTGGAAAGACTCTTCTCAGCTCAAAGTTTATCAAATCGGATCTATGGCCCTCCAACAAGGAAGATCTAGCTGAAGCTATACCGTTTCTTAGAAATGACTAACGGCAGTTTTTCCATTTCATAATAAGTGCTAATTAATATAAATAATTTGCTATGCCATCAATTCTTTTCTGTAGCACATATTACTTCTTTTATATTAAAAAAATCTGATGTGTACACCACATGACTTCCTTTTACGGATATTAAATTATACGCATATTTTCTTGCATTTCATTTAAACTTATTGGATTGAATTAAATCTACTTTGTCGACAGTGCATAAACCACAGTAGAATAAATGCATTCTTTAAAATTCACTCTAGTATTTGTTTACCATAGTGACACTCTGGCCCTAGATTCACTTAACAGTATTATATTTCGTTCATATTATAACTCATGCACAAAATTTATATCATTTAAAGAATAGAATTATCTAATCGTTGCCACATGTTCTATTCAAATACTATAATAAATAATAAAGCTAGAATGATGTATAAAAAAATTAAGCAAATAAAACACAAAAGAAACAGTTTTTCACAGACGATTGAGTATTTCTCATTCAATTAATTCAGTTCTCACTTCGCGACAAGGCAAAAATACATAAAAACTCAAAATATCTATATTAAAAATTACTAAGTAAATCTTAAACACTTATTTCCTCGAAAAAATTCCAGAAAGGATTAAGCATGATTTAATTGGCAATAATAAATGAAGGTGTTATCTTTGTTGTTGCGAAGCTAAGTTTCTCTAGATTGGCAACAAATCCACTAGTCTGCTGTTTCAAATGCAAACAATCAATGGCCGCCATAAAAAAAAGGCTTAGCGGCACTTAAACAACTTTAAAATTGTTGATAATTCTAAAAATATTGCATTCAGATTTACTAAAGGCATAAAAACCTTAACTGGAAGATAAAAACAACATAATTCAATCATTTTTAAAGCAAAAAATGTACAATTTACAAAACATAAGAGTAAAGAAACTGAGATCACTGAGCCGGGTAACAGAGTGGATATATATATAATATATTTATACATGTTTGGTGCGGCCGATTGCAACCAAAATACGAGGTGCACATCTACACATGTTATAGCAGTCCTATATACAAAATTTCAACAATCTGAGGCTACTCGTTTTTGAGTTATGCGAGATACATTTGTACAGACGCCACGAAAAATTCTCTTCAGAATTCATTTTTAAAGCAGTTTTTATAATTTTTTGAAGGAAACGAGTCTTTTATTCTGTCACGCAAATATCATGCGCAAAAACAATGTTAAATTGCATTCGATAGAGGTCAAAATGGATATTTTCGTTGAAATATGCTGCCTCAAACTTTTCACGATTACTATACTTCCTTTTTTACTTCATACAAGGAAGTAAAAAATAAGCTGTAACCCATGTGTAAATGTTTATATATATATATATATATGAGGGAGTCGAAGTCTTTAAAATTCCGGGAGTTGGAGTCTGTCATTTTCCTACCGACTCACAGCCCTGCTTATTAGTGCATACATTTTAAATTTTGCATAACTCTAAATACTATTTTTTTTTTTTTTTTTTTTTTAAGGTTGCAACATTTATCTTGCAGAAGATTCTACTCGATGAAACTGGTTTAAATTATATATGTCAGACATACGAAAGATTTTCACATGTAGCTATGATTCTTGTAAGTCCTCTCCTCATTATTTTAATTTGCTTATATTTGTTGCCGTAAAATTGATGTTTTTCTATCTTTTGTAGTGCTATCAAAAGCACAAAGAAAAAATGCCTGACTTTCGATGTTATATTACAAAAGAATTCATGAAGCATCAATGTATTGCATGCTTTTTTCGTGTAACCATTCGAAAATAAAAAAATGGGTTGAAAAGTGTGCGAGATGATTACAAATTTTTAATTCAAGCCAGAAATGATTGTCAGTGGTCTTGAATTATTCTAAATTATGCTTACATTCAATTATAATATTTCTAACCGGCCATTGTCAGTTAATTTTTTCAGCAGTGTACTATCTTAATATCTCTTTGTTCAACAAAGAATGGAATTCCTGCCTTTTTCTTGTAAGGAAGAACCAGTCATTTCCTGGAAGGCCACTTGCTGTTAGGGTAACCTGAAAATCTCATGGGACTGTTTGTGTAGAAATTTCTTGACTTAGTTTTCAGATTGCATAGATGACAAAGATGTGATTAATTGGAACTTCCAAAAAATCATTTAAATAAAAATAACTGACTATAAGAAAAAAGATGTAGTAGTAGAGAATTTTATTGGATATTTATGAAGAAATAGATTTATCTAATAATGATAAAGTAATTTATATTTATGTATTTTTATAGCTAATTTCTAATGTCTTGATCATAATGGTGAATTCAAACTTGAATCTTTTTTTTAGAGAAAAAAAATTAACCACACGATAAAGATTAATATATCTATAGCGTTGTTATATGTTTGCAAGGATTAAAATTGTTTCAGATATAACAAAATCCTTGTTATTTATTAATTTAATTTTATCTGCAAATAACCAGTGAATTCAGAATAGTGACAGTAGGTGAAATGATTAGTTTGGGTTAATTGAATATGGCAAAGCTAATGAAAGCTATCTGCCCAAGGGAAGAGAAGCCATCTTAGGCCCATTATCACACATGCATTTGTTTCACATGAACAATTGTTTCGGAAAATTTTTCTGCCTGGTTTATTATTGAAATAAAGACTCGCAGTGTTTTTCCTTCTTTTTGAAAAAAGTTGCAAGTTGTTCATTTTCAACTAGTCAGCTTCGAATGCTATCAGCTTGTTTGTAATGGAGAACCAGCTTCCTCTGTGTTAACCCCAAAGTGATCAGTGGTGATTGGCTGTTGTGATAAAGCGGAAAAACTGTTCTTCCGAAACAAATGGGTGTGTGATAGAGGACTTCCTAATGGAAACTGGCTTTTATTCATGTTACACATAAAAAAACCTTGAAAATGAACCATGCATCTAATCTCTCTGCATGTGATCAAACTTAGATTGAACTCGCAACATCCAACCATCTTAACCACCCGGCCACTGCTAAAAGGGTAAAAGTGGGGTTTATTATTATTATTATTATTTTTTATTTTTTATTTTTTATTTTTTATTTTTATTTATTTTTTTTTAATAATTATTTTATTTTATTTTATTTATTTATTTATTTATTTATTTTATGTTTTCTGAATAAATCTTCTTCTGTTGGAGGAAAGCCATTAGCCTGGGCTAACATTAAAGACACATGGAAAAAATTTTGTCAGAAACCCCGTAAAGAGACTGTGGCAAACAGGCCGTGATTGCATGGCACATCATCTTAATAAAATTGGCATTCTTCCATCTAATATATGCCAGATTTGTGAAACTTAGGTATCATGAATGCAGATTTTTTATTTGCCCAAAACTAGATAAAGAGTCTCGGAAGCATGGTGAGATAAGCAAACTATACTGGAATGTGAGAACGTTCATGAACTCCCTGTAAAGACTACATCTCTGATGTTCCTTTCCTTGTTTTTGAACTTTTATTCCCATATTCATTTGTTCCAATTCTTACTTTAAATGTTTTATTTTATATGATTGTTCTTGTATGACACTTGAGCTGTTTTATATGTATGAATTGATTATTCCAATAAAGCCATACGTAACAACAACATATTATTAACTTAAATTCATTAGACTTCTTACATCCCGAACTGTTACAAATACATCAAATAATGTCAGATTAATATATCTTAATATCATAATTGCTAATTTTATATGTTTCATTAAGTAATACATTAATTGTCATAATTTCAGGTATTTTATGCTTTACGATTTTTTGCTTGCGGATCATATCACTAGCTCATAGCAAATGAATTTTACCCTGCCAGTCAGTTGGCATACTGCTAGCAGAGCAATTACTTATGTTATGTGGAATGGTGGTCCTTTTAAATTTTTGCAAAAGTTCCAGATATCGTGATACTATTGTGAACTTTTGTCACAATTACTGTAAGCCCTGACAATAGTGAGAGGAATTTTCTAAATAAAAATGATTTAAAAAAAAAGTATTTTAGAACAAAAGATGCTTGTTTTATATGTAAGAAATATTTAAAAGGTATAAATGTTTATGTATTTTAAGAAATCTTTCTTTCTGCCTCAAAAAAGCAGCAAAATAATACTATAATTTTAAAACATCAGAATGAAAATTTTTCTTCAAAAATAAGCTTAAATTTATTTCCTTGTAACCTCATTTTGAAATTTTTTTTTAGTTATTTGTGAATTTACTGCCCTTCTTGATATACATTGAAACCTTTCCTAGCAGGAAGAGCCATGTAAGAAACAATACCACTTTCTGATAGTTGTAAACAAAGTTGACTTAGTATTTTCATGAAGCAATGTATTATGTTTTTGAGAAGAAATATTACACTTAAATTTAGAAAAACCTTCACCAACTCATGACTGTCACTAAGACAATTAAAGCACCAATTATATTTTTTATTAGATCTTTATTTTTCTTGATGTTCCATCTAATTCTTTAAATTTCATGTACTTGTTTAAATAATAGATACCATATCAGAATTTATATTGAATTTCTTTTATATTGGTAAAAAGCAATTATAGATCTATTTTTCTTTGCACTTGGATTAAAAACAATACCTTTCCTGAAAAGTGTTCCAATGAAGCACCATCAATTATTCCAAAATTCAATAAAACTATCAAATATAGTCATTATTAATAACCTTTTAAGACCATAAGTAGATTATCAGGATGAACCTTTTGTAGTAACATGAATATTAACCGTTGGGTAATTATTAAAATATCAATATTAAAAAAAAGAGATTTAAATATTAAAAAAAAAAAGAGATTTTTAAAGAGACCATAGTTAATAATTTCACAATCTTTTTTTTTTTTTTTTTTTTTTTTTTTTTTTTTTTTTTTTTAACCACATGGTCTTTTTTATCTTTCTTCCTGCATTTGCATGCAGGGAATTTAAACTGTGAATTACTTCACCGGAAATATCTGCCTTAAGCTCAAATGGTTGGCATGATTATTGGATGGTTAATCCAAGAATGTTTTCAATAATCATATGGCTATTTGTTTTTTGTCATCATACTACTTAGACAACTTGGCCCAAGCCTAATCTTGTATGATGCAATATGAATGCCTGAGCGGTAAAGTATCTCAAAATCTCCCGTTAGGATAATGCACAAATTCAGGTTCTGCATATCTTCCATCATTTTGTATAAGAGAAACACTAGCAAGGTTATTTATAACCAACCTTTCTTGCACATAAAACATAAATACAAGAACTGTACACTTAGATCAAAAGCAGCAGATTATGTTGAAATACTATTTGTGATTGAGAACTATATGGAGGGTAGACAATTGCATGGTTTCTCAGTTCAAACTCTGCAGTGAAAGGTCTATAATATACACCGACTCGTATAGTACATGTAGTGCTCTTGATATATTCTCTGAAACCTAGAATGTTGTGGTTGCTGAAGTGCTGAAGCTAAATATGAACTTAAGAAGCCATGGGTACCATCTTTTTTGCTGCTGGATTATTGAACATGTAGAGATAAAAGGTAACAAACTGGTAGATATCACAACAAAATTTGCAGTTCAGTTATTGAGTCAGCCAGTGGAATATTGAGAGAATACTAGAAACTAAAAGGATGAAGTCTTGTTAAACTTGTGTAAGAATCGGCCACTACCAAATCACTCGCAGTTACCTTCTAAAATCGGAGAGTGAGACAATATGTCCTAACTGGGATAATGTTCTGTCTATAAATCTTTTTTTTTAATATTGACATTTTAATACTTTGATTGAAGCATTTTAATGATTGAACTTGCCTCTTAACCATTTAATTAGAAAAGAGGTCAATAGCAGTTTTTTCAGCACATGAAAGAAACCATTCTTTATGATATTTCATTTATTTTAATTTGGTTTTGAAGTTGTATTTTAATGTTTCATGTTTTTGATTCTACTTCTGTTTACATCTGAGTTATCTCAACATTATCTGAGTTTTATATATTTGTTCACCTCAGCATTCATTATTTTATTACTTCCTTTGATTTTATAAGACTTCATTTAATTTATAAGTCTTTTTGAAACTTGTGCCTAGAGATAACTTTTACTGGTATGTAAGTCATAACCTAACAGTCATAACCTAACAGGTGTTTGGCATATATAACTGTTGAGGCTGTGTGCCAGGAAATCCACCACCACTGTGTAATTATTCCAATGCTTGAGCTACTGGAATCTCAGAATTTAAATTCTAAATATAAATGGTATTGGTGTATTTATTTTATTGGAGAAGATTTTTTATTTCAAAGTGAAGTATTTTTACACTAAAATTAGTAAGTGGATGAATTCATGTGGCAAATAATGAGTTTATTTAAAAATATATGTCATAACTGTTTCAAGCTTAACTATCTTAATTTGTGTTACCTTTTTTTGCAGAGGTTTGGAAAATTTCATGTTAACTAAAATAATTGTGATGATCTGTTTTTGAAAGTTCAATCATTAGTATTTTTAAAGCTTTTGTCTAATTTTGTTCTATATCTTTATTTTATATATATTTTTTATAGTCTTTCAGAATCTTCTATACTATCCACTGCTTTATTTATTATAGTGATTTATTAAATCACTTTTTTTGCATCTATTTTTCTTTTTAGGGAAAAATGGTGCTTTCATTAGCTAAAGAGCAATCAGCTCGTTTGTTAAAACATGTCATTCGCTGCTATTTGCGTCTTTCAGACAATCCCAGGTAAATATACTTATATCTCATCAAACATATATTTCAGTTTTTTGAATACCCACTTATTTATTTGAAACATTTTAGAAGACATTTAAATAATGGGCTGAGATTTCATTTATTGAATCCTTTTTGTCTGCATTGAGATCTGTGTTTATGTATATATAACAAAATAAATTCAAACAAAAGCCAAAATATAATACATAATTGACTTTAAAATGTGACTAAAGCTGCAGTAAATCAAATATTTAATAAAAATTTCAATTTGTTTATTTATGCTAAAAGGAAATAATCAGTGATGCAAGTGCAAAAACAGTAAAACTATAAAAACATACAAATCCAAATACATGGCAAAATGGAAAGTTTTTTAAAGCTTACATTTTTTAGCTTAAAAAAGAAATTTTAAATATTTTTATTTTTGTGAATACATATATGTATATTGTATTTGATTACATAGTTCTCCCTACCTTTTTGATACACAGTTCTAGGATTTGTTCAGATGTTTGTGAAAGTCTTCCTTCCTGAAGGCATTCATAAAGTGTGTTTTCCTTAATTTCGCATAGTGATCATTTTTGTCTTACTGATTGATTTGTTCATGAATTTTGGGTCGATGGGCTGATTCATGAAGCAATAATATTGAAAAACTTCAAGAAAAGTGAAATATCTCATCATGTTGATGACTGAAGATTATTGCATGTAGCAAGACAGACTGAATGGTGACAGAGATTATGATAACAGTGACAGTTGCATTAATTTGCAAGCTTTAGCAGATGACACTGCAATAGTTGCAGCAATATTAAATGATTTGAAACTTGGGGAATAGCTGTAGATAGCAAGAATAGCAGTCTGCATTCTAGGTATGGGGAAGGTTAAATGAAGATATTGTACTAATTTTGTATTGTTAATATTACTGTGTATTCTTATTGGAATATAGATTTATTTTAAATAAATAATATGATAGTTGCAGTAGTTTATCCATGGACACTTTTCAGTTGTTATTTCTTACCATAATTGCATCTTTCAAAATTAAATTGTTGAGGTAATTTTCCCTTCTTAAATTTTTCAAGATAAAGTAAGTAAAAAAAGAGGGTGAAATACGTAAGTAAATACAGTATATAGTGATGAGGTCGTAAAGTTGCGCGCTTCCAACCTGCACGCAACAAAGTGGTGACTGCTGAAAACTGGAAATTAGACAGAGTCTTGAAGGGTTTAAATCCCTTTTTATTCAACTGTAGAAAATTACAAATGCGTGCTCTTGACGCTCACAAACTACGCCGACCCGGCGGTAAAATAAAAATATTAAACTAAAAAGAGATAATAACAAGTGACTAACTACGAGGCTCTCTAAACGTAACTAACCTCACCGCGTTCTAAAATACCGCTGATAATTCAGCAAACTCTGAATATTATGTTGAAAAATTAACAATTTGCCGAGGCAAGCACACAGGCCGAAACGCGTGGTTCTTCAATTTCTAACTAGCCACCTCCACACTCGTGAAGCAAGAAAGCACACCTTCGAACTCGTTTCCTTTCTATTTAACTCAGAATACTTCCGCTGATAAATTTGAATCCTTGCGCGTTCTACTAAAATTTACATACTCTGGCATTGGCAGTTCCAGGGGAAAGTAAGGATTGACAGGAAAGATAGTTTAAACTTAAAATAAATGTTAGTTAAAATAAATATAAACCCTACATGGTATGAAAATTTTAGCTAAAGGCTTATAAAAATAAAATATGAAATTCTAGTTAAATGTCTTATTTATTCAAAAGTAGAAAATACTAATAATTGTTTATGTACAAAAAATATCAAATTAAAAAATAAATAAAATTTATAGAAAAATTGAAAAAATAAAAAAGGACAATTTATAAGATTTAATTTCTCGTATAATTCTAAATATATGCACCAAGTGGTCTTATTGGTGTAGAATTGAAATTTCCCAACTAACACTTTTTTCATCAAGTCAGACTATACAGATTTAATTGCATGCTTATTTGTTTCTCTAATTTTTCAAGTAAAGGAAGGCATTTTTGCATATTCCCTATCTTCATGTATCTTTCATATAACTCCACATAAAATGATTAAAGGTGTGGTCTGTGTTGGTATCATTTGTTACCTTTTTTAGTGATATGTTTTCTTAACCCAGTTCTTTTGCTAAATGTGGTTGCCAACCAAGAAAAAACATTTTTGGCTCCACTGTGTCAAATATATTCTATATGAAATGAGTAGCATAGTAGTAAAACTGTTGTTAATTTTGTTCAATAAATCGTAGTTTAGATTTTCACTTAGATTAGACATTGCTCAGTGAAGTTTTATGAATGCAGACATTACAGTATCAAGACGTATATTCTCAGTTTGTAATATTTCCATTTCTTAATTTAGAAGTCAAACAACAAAAATCAGTGTTATATTTTAAAATTTTCACAGGACTAGTTTCGATGGTTTTACCGAAACATCAGCCTCAGCTGCAAAAGTACATAAAAATTTCAATTTCTTATATCAAAACTAGTCCTGTGAAAATTTGCAAATATAACACTGATTTTTGTTTGACTTCTAAATTAATATTTGTTCGGCGTGTTATTGTATCTTTTTTCCATTTCTGTTTAACATATTTTTTTCAGGTGGATGCGAATAAGCTTTGTTGTTAAACCAAGTATTTTTATTTCCCTCCTAATTCAACATTTCCTCTAGCATCTCAACCATTAAATTTTAAAAACTGTGTCAATTTTTTATATCCGTCTTCTTTAGTGGTAGATAAAATTGCATCTACTGTATACACCTCTTAATGTGATTGCTGTTTATGTTATCATTCGGATGTTATGGAATTTCTGATGGCCAACCCATTTGTATAAGAAAATGTGGAAAATGTACTGCTTATTGTTAAAATAAATTTGGTTAATAGTATCAAAATATTAGGGAATAAATTTCTTAAACTGAACTAGAGTCACCAAATAAAAGATAAAATCACCAAATGAGATCAAAATAAAATTTTAAAATTGACAAGTAACATAAAAATGTCAGCAGGTAAGAGAATAAATTGCCAAATCATTTCAGCTGAAATCGAAATGAAGCCAACACCTTTTGATTTCTGTAAGCATTTAAAAAAAGACAAAAAAGCAACTTTAGTTTGGTGTACTCTTTGAATAATTCTATTGATTCTGAGAGTGATCAGTTAGGTGCCCCCCTCTTAAAAAAACTGCAGAATCTTTGTTTCTTGAAGAAAACAATTACCTGAAAGCATTAATGCCAAATTAAGAGTACTATTTTGCCTAATTTTAAGTTTTACAGTGGCATGTTCGCTTTGAATGAGGGATGCCTTCTGAGTATTAAGATAAAGGTACAGCGTGGGTCAAATTATTTTTAGAAACAGTATTAACAGTTCATAGACAAACTTTTGCATTTTCTGAATTAAAATGCTGTGAAAATACCAATTTATGTAATCTTGATATTTTTATATTATTTACATTCCATTGCTATTTTGATATTGCACATTAAACAGCACCTGCTGTAATACACAAGTCTCATAGTTTCTAGTACTCTTTCTTTACAATGAATTTCATTATACGAGGGCTATCCAGAAAGTAGATTACGTTTTGGAATAAAAAAATAAACAAAGTATAGGAAACAAATTTTATTATATACAGATGAAAGCCACACTCAAATACTACTTTTCTACATAGTCACCATACAAATTAAGGCATTTATCGTAGCGATGTACGAGCTTGGAAATTCCTTCGTCGAAAAATTCGGCCGCCTGCGCCTTCAACCACTTCGTTACCTCTTCTTGCAGCTGTGCGTCGTCATCAAACGCTGCATAGCCAGCCATCTTCATTTTCACATTTCGTTTCACAGTTCACATGTTTCACCCATGTTTCGTCACCAGTAACGATGCGATCGAGTAAAGAGTCACCATCCTTATGGTAAGCGTCCAAAAAGTTCAACGCTGCAGCCATTCGCTGATTTTTGTGGTCCTCTGTCAAGATTTTTGGAATCCATCTTGCACAAAACTTGTGGTAACCAAGCTTTTCGCTGATGATTTCGTGCAACAAACTTCGCGAAATTTGTGGAAAACTCAAAGAAAGTTCCGTTATTGTGAAATTTCGATTTTCACGGACTTTAGCATCGACTTTTTCGAGAAGTTCGGCGGTCACTATGCTGGGTCTCCCACTTCGATCTTCGTCGTGAACATTGGTTCGGCCATTTTGAAATCTTATGACCCACTGACGCACTCCACCTTCAGTGATAATGTTGTCCCCATACACTTCACGAAGCTGCCGATAGATTTCTATCGGTTTACAGTTTTTTGCAGTCAGAAACCTTATTACTGAGCGCAGCTCGCGGGATTTTCAATTAACGCAGACATTTCAAACCGTCACAGTATCTGAACGGAGCACAGCACGAACCTCTCACTAGCACGGCTAGATGCAGACTGAGCTGCGCAACGCTCTGACCCCAAGATGGCCGCGCTAGCCCCGCCCCTAGCGGACACAGACGGAAACGTAATCTACTTCCTGGATGGCCCTCGTATCTCTAATTGTGGCGAAGACTTCCATATATTAGTTTACATTAAAAAAAGCAATCTGTATAATCTTATAATTATGAATTTTTACCATATAACATCAATTACATCACTAAACTAAATGTCATGAATATATAGTCAGTTTAAAAATGAATAAACTTAAAGATGTTTAAACCTTACTATGAAATGACCTTTATAAAATATTTCTTTATCCAAAATATTCTCCTAAATTCATGTTAAATTATTATTATTTTTAGTTTTATTTTCGTAAAGTCTTCATTCACTATTTCCAGAGTTAAGAATTCAATTAAAAAATTTTCCAAACCAAGAAAGAATGTCTGTCTTAAAATTTTAATAGGTAAACCTTTATAATATGATTTAACAATATGCATAAATCAATAGCATTACAATCATTCTAATAAAATAGTTTTATTATATTTTGGAACGATCTTGTATTAAACTCACAAAACAGCAAGATTTCTTATTGAGTCTTTTCAATTATTACTATTATTAATAATCCAAATTTGTGTTTTTGGTGTGAAAGAAAAGTGCCATATTTGACTTCCATTCCTTTACTTCTTAAAATAACTATCTCTTAGTTATCTACTTTAAAAATCTGTATAATCTGTACTTTAGAATCAAATAACTTACTTCTGATATATGTGTATATTTAATTTATACAATAGTAGCAGAAGTATCTGATGGCAGTTAAGTTAGATTGAAAGTAATGCATCTAACAACAGAGAGAATAGTACTGCTGTAATCCTTCTGTAATAATGATATAAAAATATGATTAATATATTTTTCAGTCTGATGTGATATGGAACTCACATAAAAAATTTCCATAGAAAAATAAATTTTCATCATATCAGCAACAATGGCATGCAGTTTTCAATGATTTTAATCTTTACTAATCAAATAGTCATAAAAGTTCCATCCAATATTCAATTAAATGTGGCAAAAAAAGTAATCGTAATTGATCAGAAATCAATAACACGAACAAACATACACACAGACAGGCATTCTTCTATATATATAGATTTTGTAAAACTTACAAATCTTTTACTAACAAACTCTATGATTTGAAAGCGAGCAGTAGCAACACTTTTCTAAATAAAGCATTTTTATCTCCAACGAGCGAGACTGTTACCACTCGGAAAAAAGAGTGCGAAAATTAGTGGTTTCAGAATTTTTAATTAATATCTCGGCTGATTAAAGTTCTACGAAATTGGGAACAGTCAAAATGGCTAACCACAAATTTTTGGAATCTGGAATAATGTATTTATGTTTGGCAATGCTATTTTTTTTCATTGGAAAACTTAGAAATCTTTTATTAACAAACTGTACGATTTGAAAGTGAACAGTGGCAACACTTCTCAAAATAAAGCAGATTTTTATCTCCAGCATGTGAGACTTTGCCACTTGGAAAAATAGAGGGAAAATGAGCGTTTTTCAGAGCTTTTAATTACTCTCGAATTTTAGATATTTTTTTTTTTTTTTTTTTTTTTTTTTTTTTTTGGAAAAAAGTGGATGTTGACCTTTCCCAGGACCCAGAAAAGAGTTGTAGAAAGTTTGGTGACAATAGGCTATAGTAGGGATTGAGTCAATCGCGAACTAACTCACAGACATTCTACTTTACATAGAGAGATTCTGACTGTATAGGCTATATATGCAAATAAACAAGGTAATGTTCTCATTGAAAAAAGATAAAACAGAACAATAGATGATGCCCAAAGTGAATTATTGAATTTCACAGTAATAATATATGGGTCAAGCCTGTTAAGAGTATGTAAGATATCCAAATTTTTACAACTTCAGTAATTTCCACCATAGCTTTTAATCGTAGGCATTGGTGTCAGAGATGATTCTCTGAATTTCGTTCATATCATCTAGACGCTTTGTGTTTTTCAAAGGCATTTGTATTCCATTTCTCAGCAGTCTTCTGTTTCAAAACCTTATCATCTTGACATATTCAATCTGCAGATTCTCCTTTCTTTAAAATTGTAGCGAGTCTTGTTATGTATACTGACAGTTCTTTTAACAAAACCTGTCAGTTTTTTATGGAACTTTGTACTACTTCATATTCATATAATTTCTTGACTACTTCAGCAAAAAATACCATGTTTGAATATTCATCCACAAAGTTTTCATAAATTTCACCATTTAGAGACATTTAATTTGGTCTGTCAGCATTAAACCTTTCAGCAAATCAAAATCTCTCACTTCCACCTCATTCAAACACTCGTCTGGGTAATTTCTCAACTCGAGGAAAATCCTTTTATACAATACCTGCACTCCACTGGTACTGAACAAATTTGACACAAGCCTCTGGGCCCAAATTAAAATGTTGCAAAAGAATTTCCTTTACATAGATGTAATCTCTTCTGGCTGCCATAAAATAATGGAAATAATGTTCATCGGCAATAAAGCTATCGAGTACGACACATTTGCTTTGTGAACCGGATGCTGAAACATCGTGAAATAAAAAGAAAAATATCCTACGGGTCGGGATTATATTTAAGTTTTGCAGCTCTCTTATAGACCTTGGAATAATATTCTGAGTATTTAATTTGCTATTATTGAAGTTTTTGAACAGCAATCGTTTTAACTCTCTTTCTTTCCTTCTCGATCCCTCTTCTCTTCTTAGAGCGTTACATTGTTCGATCCATGTTTTAATGATACTCTAGTGTTCCCTTGGCAAGTTTTTCATCATAATGAGGACTCTATGCATTGAAGTTTTTAAGGTCTCATATTTTTTCACTGGGAGGAACATCTAAACCTGTAAGTTTTATGAGATCTTGTTTCTTGTTTCCTACCCTTCCCAAGATATGACATTTTGTAAATTCCAAAAATTTTAGAATGATGCAATAAAACAGAAATACAGTTTTTTCCTGTTCCCTTTTTTTTTTTTTTTTTTTTTTTTTATTGACTGAGAAAGACTACTCTTTTTTTTATTCTTTTTTCACTCACCTCAATTCACTGAGCACAATTCGTGGCACAGCAGGTGGTCGACTTTCTCCTGCAAATCTGTGTTCGCAAACCGATCACTGAAACTTAATGCACTCACTGTTGTAAATCAAAGGAAGAATCTTTCCTTCGCCTGTTTTTGCAGGCACTTCGTGACATAGTTTTGTTAAAGTTGGCACTACATGAAGACCAGGGATGTCTCACTCACTTCTTTCTCAATCCCACTGCTGCCACCGATTTTATACATTATCCTAACTAGGTGTAGCGAGTTGACACAACCAAGGAGGTAATGTATTAAATTGATTTAATATTCAAATTCTAGGCTATATCAAATAATTTAAAAGATTATGTTCTCAGCAACAAAAAAAAAAAAAAAAAAAGATGATGCCCAAAGTCTGCTAAAGTTCCTATCCAATAGTCGGACTTCTCGGCATTTTTCTTTCAGATGTAGGGTGAAGTTCCTATGTAAGGCAACCAGCCTTGTTGCCTGGGCTCACCACCTAACTTAAAAGCTGTTCTTAAGTTAGGTAGTGGAAAATCCAGCTGGCTATTGACTTATTCTTAGCTTTCCACATTGCTCTTGACAGAGCTGAAAATGCAAAAGAGAAAGTTCCTCTCTTTTCGCTAACAAAAAAAACTCGCTTTCTCTCTCTGGAACTGTGTTCATTGTCTTTCTTCAAGACTTCCCAGGGGTGTCGGGACAATTTTCTGAATTTGCATTTGCCATAAAATTTTCAGAGCATCTCTCAATTGGCGAGAGCACTCTTATTGTTTGCAGATGTAATGTTGACAAGCCTGGGGAAAATTTCCATGAGAATTCTCCAGCTGCCGGTTGGTACTTAAATCCGGGTGATCAGGAACAGGTAGTTGCTGCATAACAAAACAGTTCTAAACAGATGCTCTAAACAAGGAATTTGGATGTAGGACTCCGATATTCTAGTTTTTCTCGGGAACAAAACAATGTTTTTTCTTTGAACCACCATGAAAGAAAATAAAGGCTTTAGAACAGTATGTAGTTATCAGTAGTGTTCAACTTTCTCGAGAATTCTTAAGTGGTCATTTGAAAGTAACTTTTCTGAGAATTTCAGAGTGGTTGCCAGAAAATAGCTGAAGATATTACAATATGTATCTAACAAAAGTTAAAAATTATAAAAAATAAAATACTAACCTGGAGGGGGGGAATTAATTGAATTTAAAAAGAAAACATAGAGAAACTATTCACATTTATAACAAAATGAGATGTAAATTGAAAGATATTGAAAGTTGAAAATATATTGAAAAATTTTTTAGAAATATGTTAAAAACTTAAAACCTTAACGATCAAGTACTTAACTCGTGTTTTGTTTCATCATTTTCACGCAGACTAATATAAAAAATAAAAAGTAAAATACAAAACAAAAATTTTTATGCCCACTCTCCAAGTGATTACCCCAAGCCAAAATCAATTTTAAAAAATTAAAAACAAAATATAAAACATATACATATATGTCATGGTTTTTTATGTGCAGTTGTGGTGTCAGAAGTGGAAGGCTGGGAAGGTGAACAGGTGACGCCGACACAAAAATGAATTAGACGAATTCCCAATCTTTATTTCTACACATATAAAATCATATCCATAGATATTTATCCAATCATAATGAAATCTGATACATTTCTATCATTCAGTCATAATGAAATATGATAAATTTCTACGTACATTGGCCTTTTAAAGGGAAATGACTTTGTCAGTTAAGAAGCAAAGCGATGAGGATTTATTCGCAGTGGTGAAGCTAGTAAAGGAATGACATAGTTTTTTGTGCCAGGAGTATTTATACCAAGTCTGAGGTATAAGTAGAGCTAATCTGTGATTGTTTAATTTGAGATTTTTACAAACGGAAGATTTTTGAATTTGGGAGAAGAGATGAATTTAGGGGGAGATCACCAAATCTAGAATGTTAATTTTGAGGTTATCAATTATTTTTAAAGCAGCTATCGTATTTTCTTATCTTGCATATATATACATATGCAAGATATAAGAAAATTGTATATATATATAATACATTTTAAATCTGTGGATTATAATGGCACTTCTGGCACTGAAAATTTTATGTAGTTGCTTTAATTTCCTACTATTATACATATCTTTTCCTCTTTTTAATAGAGCTAGAGAAGCTTTAAGACAGTGCTTACCTGACCAGTTGAAAGATAACACATTTGCAAATTGTTTGAAGGAAGATAAATCGACGAAACATTGGCTGAGCCAACTGCTAAAGAATCTTGAAACAACTCCTGTGTCTGAGGAGCGACTTGGTTATGCAATGCAATGAATACTAACTATTTAAGGCAGTGTTTACAGGACCAATTGAAAGTTAAGAGGTTTGCAGATTGTTTGAGAGAAGGTAAATCTGCAAAACACTTCTTTTGAGTAGTCGGGTGTTAAAGAATATTGAAGCATCTCTTTTTCTGAGGTGTATATTGAATGAAGCAAGAAATACTTTTTAATGTAGGTATGCAGAATGACTAATGTACTATGAAATATTTTCATTCATAAAGGAGTTTATTTTTCTATGATCATTCATATGATAGTGTACATTAAAAAGTATTGCAAATGATTTAAATTATTTACGAACTTAAGATCAATTGTTATTTTGAAGTTCCTTATGAAATAAATGCCTTATGCATAAATATTATTTCTGACAAAGCTGTAGACATATATAAATAAATGATTTTTTTATGTTCACTCTTTTTTTGACAGCTCATGTAAATTTGAGTATTTTAAAAGATGTAAAAAACTTTATCATCATGAATGTGTGTTCTGTAAAATAAAGTCTGTTTGAAATATATCTTGTATGTTTTTTAATTGTTGATATATTTTATTCAATTTAAGTTTCACCATATATTGCAAATACACATTTCACGAACTGTGGTTGTTATTTTAACATTATATGTTAGCTTAATTTTATTTAAATCTGTGGTCCATTTAATTCTAATTTCTCAATAAATTTGCTGATACTGGAAATAACCTCCATAAAATGGGCAACATTTCTGGACAAGGTATCAAAATTTCTACTTTTCAGCAAGTGATGTCTTTTCAAAATTGTGTTGATCATGTAGATTATTAGCATAAAAACACACCTATAAAATTCTTTTAAGAGCTATCTTGATTGGAGGTCTAGGAATTTAGGTGGTCATATTTTCTTTCATTCTTCTCTGAAAATGTCAGTATCAAAGTGATTGTAATTCAAAGCATGTATGAATTGTTTATTTGCTTATCTTGAACATTGATCCAAATTATTTTACTCACTGTGTGTATGATCCTTAGACGAATTTTTAGAAGTTTTTGAATTGCATTACTATATTAGTTTAAAAATTTTTGCTTGCTGTGCACTTAAAATTTCTTTAAATTTATAGTTTGAGACTTCTGTGATTACCATGTTTATTTGTATAATGAGGTCAGCACCACCCTAAGATATTCAGCACCTGTGGGCTACTGACAGTAATGAATGTGCTCCTCGTCATAACAAAATACATGAGAGGACTGCCAAAATTTTATGAAAGTTTCAGAACTAGAAAAAGTCAATTTGTTACCATTGCACAAAATAAAAACACAAAATTCTTGCAAAATAAAATAATAATAATAATAATAAAAACTATATAAACAAAACAAAAAAAAAGTAACTTTTATTTGTTGGTAAATGTTTATGTATATATAAATCTTTTTTTATGGCTATTAGACCAGAAAATCCAGCTTTTGAATTGTACATTATGAATATCTACATCTATGTTCTTAATTATAGCTAGAATTTTTTCTTAGCTTAATTTTTTCATAGTGCAGAATTGTCATTTTTAGCACTCAACATATCATTAGTTTCAAATTCTGGCTGTGGCTGTTATGTCTTTTTGCCCCTGTCATTATGTCTGTGTATCCTCTTTTTTTTTTTTTTTTTTTTTTTTTTTTTTTTTTTTTGGTTTATCATACTATTATCATTTTCTTTTTTCTTTGTTCATGTTGCTGATGCTGTGTAATTTCCATAGAAATTTTTCCGCCCTTTTTAAAGAAATTTGTTAATTTTTTTCCAGAAAACTTATCTTGCTTCTTCCTTTATTTCTGTTAATTTTTTCAGAAAAGCTTTTTGTCTTGCTTCTTTCTCTTCCCATAATTTATGATTGACGAGGCACACCAGCGGCCGAGCGGTATAAAGTCGCTGAACATGGGTAGCTCGGTCCGAGGTTCGAATTCCGCGAACTGGCTGGCTGCATGGGAGTGTTTGTGGTTTTCCCTGTGCCAATTTCCCATGTATATCAGCCAATTTCCCTTAGAAAGTCCTCCATGAAGGCATCCCTCCCTTTAGGCAGCTAGTCCTTGAGGATATCACATAAACCGTATGATTGACAAAGCCAGATAACTTTTTTTGTTTGTATTCCACAATTAGCTTTGCCTACACATTATATTAAAAAAAATATTTTTAAAATTAACACTAAGTAAAGATTACTGTAGAATTAAAAAATATAATATACTATAAAAACTTTAAAACAATATACCAAAACTGAGAAAAGGTAGGAAACTAAAGGAAACAAAACTAGCAGATTACGAGTTCTGAATAAAGAAAAATCTGTACTACAGGTGTCAATTTGTCATAGTATGGGTAGATGGCATCTCAGTTTTCATTGGCTGGCAGATAAATCTGCCATAGATGCCATTCTGGAATGAGTCTTAAGTGAAAATGTAGAGGTGTATTGCGGGTGACTAGCAGGGGTGCCAAATTTTGAACAAATATAGAGTGGATGTTGTTTTTGCAAGGCTGCCTTAATGCCATCATAGGCAAATTGCCTATAGTGCCAAAACTCACTCAGTTTTCTTTTTATTTGTATTATTTGATTATAACAAATGAAAGCTTGATAACATAAGTAATCACTCAATTACATATATAATCTGAACAACTTGTAGAGCATAAATAACATTGCTTGACAATTGCGTTAACAATGAACTTGAATCAACAAATGCAATTCTGTATATCGAATAATTCTGAATTAATCGGATAAAATTACTTACCTCTCTTCCTCTAATGGTCACAGGGTGAGTTCTATTTTTCGTAAAACTTGGTAGGACACAGCATACAAAATAAATAATTCCTGTTAAAGTTTAATTGAATTGCATTTATTATAGCTCTTGAATATGTAGTGCTATTTGGAACAGGCAACAGTAAAAGAATCGGCTGTCCACTAGGACGAATAATTTATTCTTGGAAAGGATGGAAGTGTACGACTTGTAAGAAATACAAATGTTTCATTCGAACTTCCTCTGTCCAATTCAACATGTGTATCCTTTACAGGTTTCATTCACTAATGACATCCTAAAAGCAGAAAAAGTAAGTTGTATTTGATATAAGGGCTTTGAAAATGGAAGTATCCCGAAATCTAAAATGAAAATATCTAGTTCCTGACAAAAAGGACTTGTAAAAGGTAAGATTTTTTATCCTATATGTTTGTTCCAATTTTTAACTTTTTTTTAATATATGTATTCACATATTGCACATTTATATTCAACATGATGTAAAAACATAATGTACAATGTTGTATAGCTATATAAGCACGTTTGCGTAAAGACAAACGATATTTATTTAATATAATTTGTGACTGGCAACAATATTTAATTTTGGATTATTATTTTTCTAAGAAGAATATTCTTTAAATTTATGTATTAGAATGTGGGATTCTCATGACTTACTCGAAAGAATGTATACTGTAAACAAAAATGTTTTTATTTGAGAATCTGTGAAAAGCAGTATTTCTTTTAAAGGTAGATAGTTTAGTAGTAGAAAAAATTTTGGGGAATTTCCAGATTGCATTTTACAGCTTGCTCCCATGTGTTAACAAGCTACACCAACAGTTCTCAAATTGTGCTCTCTCCGAAGACCCGAGGTATCCGCGTGCACATCCCCGGGGCTGCATGACCGCTCCAGGAAAATAAAATAAATAAAAAATAAGAGATAAAAGTAGAATCAAAATAAGAAAGCTAAAAACTACATTCCGAATGGAAATCTGCCATGATGAATGCTGTAGAAACTGTAATTACAGAAGCCAGATGGCGCCGTGCGTCTGACTTCCTTTTGAATTAAAAATTCTATTGCCATGGAAACTGTGAAGACTGCAGAACAATGAACTATATATATAACTGGATTTATAAGTGTATTCTTCACGTCATGTATTTGTGTGCTCCGTAAATAAAATTGGATTAAAAATCTTGTATTGTATAGATCTCATCTCACAGGTAAGAATCTTTAACTGTTTATTTGTTTTTGAATATCGAATTGAAATCTTAAGCGAAAGTGATTTTAGGTGTAATCATTCTTTTAAATGCTGCGACTTCTATGACAGATAACATTTGATCCTTCTGATATTACTAATTTCAAAACTGTTATAGCTGACAATAAGGCTGTGTGGTTGTAAAAAAACAGCAGACTACGTTGCGGGTCTCATTCTTTTCAAGTTTTAATTGTCCGAGTTATTTCTTGCAAATGAATATTCGAGCTTATTCTCAGCTCTTTCGAGAAAACTCGTGGAATCCACTTGAAATTTATCCCATTGCTAATCACTGGCTAGTCAATGTAGAGCCGCTTTACAGTAAAACTAAATAACCTCTTTCTGTGCGCTTGACTTTTTTGTGAGCTTTAGTTCTGTAATTAGAAGATATTATTTAATAAAGTATTTTGTCTACTTATATTTACGAATCTGTAACTACTGCGATGAAGTTTTGGTTGTAAACTGTTACATCCATTAGAAGAAAACTGTTGTCTCATTTGATGGAACTGCGAGCAGGGGTATCAGCATATTTGATGGATTATGACGCTCCTCTGGTACCTGTTTTAATTGATGAAGACTATGTATGCAAACTGAATGAATGTGTATGAAAGGAATTGAATTTAACATTGCAAGGGGAGAATGTCATACATTTTATGCAAACCCAAAATGACGTCTTTTAACAAGAAATTTGCATAGCTTTGTGTTTGGAAAAAGAATAATACTGGTTACTTATGTCTTGCGAAAATCTTACCCAATGAAAATAAAATCAATATTCAAAGGGGAAAAAACAGAAAAACTTTCAAGCGAAGCTCAAAAAGATTTACTTAAACATTATCTTTTGACAGTATTTAAATTGCTTATTTTGTTACTCAGTAATCAATCAGATTAAATCTGAAAGTTAAATATAGCTTTAATTTATAAGGTATTTCTCTCGCCTTCTTAGCATGCCTTCATGGTGTAGTGGTCAGCACGCTCGGCGCGTATTTGAGTCCCGGCGAGGGCATTGCTCATTTTTCATCTCACCTACTTTCAAAAAATATCTAATGTCTCTACAACTTATAGCAAAACATTGGGGATTGGACAATAAAAATATTTTATTTCCGGCAATGCCAACACATTACTTTCAAGTGACCAAATTTGTGCATTAGAACTGAAAGATATGCATCTTATATTTTGCGAAATAGAAATAGCAACAGTATCATGCCCTGTAGATAAAAAAAAATCCGAAGTGTTCCACTTCTCGCTTTCAAATCACAGAGTTTGTTAAATAAAAATCCGTTAAATTTGACAAAATGTGAAGTAATTAAAGTTCACTGTTCGAGGTTCACATGATTGGGTGGATAACTACGTGTATTAAAAATTCGGTGGCTCTAGGTGCTGTCATTTTCCCACAATACAAGGAACATGCATACATGCAGATTCTTTATTATTTAATTTCTTTAAAAATAAGACATGGCGACCGATTCGCCCTGAATTCGATTCTTTTTAAAAGAATTTTCTCAATATTTATCATAAGGTAATTATTATACAGGCCAAGTTT